CCATTCAGATAGAGAAATTGGAGCTATGCATACAAAAGGAAACTATCCAAGCGCTTCTATTATCATGGTAACAACCTTGTTGGTTTCCACTAGCCTGTATTACCTTAGAACTCTTATATAATTCCATATTTTGCATCGTTCCCATGTGCGACGTTCTTACAACTCATTCATTAAATTATTCATCTTAGTACAAAACTATTATAGACTTATTCAGCAGCTTTTATGAATTGACTAATATTAACAGCGTCGGTGGCACAGCGGTTACGACGCTCGCCGACCATGCACATGGTCCAGGGTTCGATTCCCGGCTGACGCACTCCTTTACCTCACTAAGCCAGAAATAATGCTGGTGAAGAGGAAAGGTTGGGCATGAGGCTAGAAACCCCATCCTGTAAAAACAAAACTCTGCTACAGAAACTTCAAGCCACCAGCTTGAAGCCCTATGTTCCACTGGGGAACGTGAAGGAAAAAAAATATTAACAGGTAAGATTATGACAACTCATCATTTTTGTTACTACCCTTTTTCATGCAAAAAAATTGTATATGAATGCGATTGCACAGCTAAAGAAAGTGAATTCGTCGGAAAGAGCCTCCTCGTCGAACTATGCGTTTTGTTTTCTTTACTGTTTGATGATGTTCAAAAACAATGGCTATAACATTAGATAGGAAATATTTGAGTACTTATATCAGTAGAAATAAGATTAATAGTAACCGATGAATGAGACGTATCACCGATATAAACAAAAATCGTTCCACTTGAATTTTATTGCACATGACAGTTATAAGTATCAAAAACACTGACATTGTTTTCTATCTAGGCCAAGGTAGAGATGCGAACTCACTTTATGTTTCCCAGTTTGAAAAATCTGGAGAATTAATTTTATTCCATTGAAATTCATGTTATCCTGTTTTTGACTTAATTGCCTTAAACAGTAATGAGCTATCTTATTTTTCATCAACAGAACGGTTACATATAGCTGCTGTGTTGTACATCTAATGGGTAATTCGAGTTCAACAATTACATGCATGTACAGACTGTTAAGGTTATCATTATCATCAAATTGTTTTATGTCGAAACCAGAAACACTCAAGTTAAACAAGCTGTTAGACAGTGTGAATTTTAAAGATATGTGGACAGTAAGTTTTTTATTTGTCATTCTAAGTGATATTCGACTATCCCTCATTTTTTTACTTATATTTAGAGAAGAAATCAGAATTGGCTGCATAAAATGCAGTAAAGACTCTTTAAGAAAATCCATTTAGGAGACAGTGTAGAATGAAGAAGTAAATATAAGATAGTTGTAGGCAATCGGCAGGAAGCTTTGGACCTAGGTTTCGTGCTAGTTGGCACTCACCAGTCTGTCAGCAAGGCGTATCTGCAACCTTTAAGGAGCTCATGTTCCTTCTGAGATTCGAACCCACGTCACCCAGTACTGCAGTCAGAGACGTTACCATTTAGCTATTCGGTGTCGCGATTGACCTCCTGTAGTGGGTATTTTGATTGGACACTGGTAACACATTGCGAAATCTGACTGATAGAATTCAGTCTGCACTAAAGAAATGACTAGACACGTCACACTAGTTACTAGTGTCCAATCAGAAGAAGTAAATAATTTCATTTGGAAAAGAAATATTTGATACAGTCGAGCAGAAAACATCTGTAGAGCTAACTTAGAAGGACCCTTCTTGAGAACGATTCTTTCAAAATATGAAAATAATTCAAAGTAGTTGTCAGACCAATCTCTTTCATGAATCTAAAATTCAAAGGTAATCCAGCATCATCTGTCCATATGAGGCAGCATAAGTTTTGTTTGAAGAGAAAGATCAGTTTAACTGTACTAAACACGAATACTTCTACTTTTGTGTGGAAAACAAATTCCGTCAACTGACCCGACCGACAGCTGCTATCTTGACGTTATGGTCAGGTTTGTATGTTGCAATGACCCAGTGAGCTATACTGGTTGGAAATGATATTGCTACAGGTCCAACCATGCCAAAATAGTCGTTTGGATCGCAGTTAGACTAAAGGCAATCTCAGCATATATTGGGAATCCGTGCGTGAAATTGTAATGCTGGAGAACGGGGATGTAAACGTAGTAAAGTTGTTTCCTTCAGACGATCAGCAAGCCTTTCCTATCTGTGGGAGAGGGTCTCGAGAAAGTTGCTCACAAAATTTTACAAGCCGACTTATCTTACAGCGGTTCGTATCCGACGGTGAGATCTTAATAATAGAAAACAGTTTAAACAGGCCACAAGCAGTTGTCCCTTAGGCCTTTCAACCACTTAACCCTAATGTTGCTTCTGCTTTAGGCAGCCGGGAGGCAGTTACCACCAACATACTTCCACAAATAGGCATACGAAGCTCTCCCGTACGTAAACTAATCACATCTATATGTTTCAACTACTTAACCTGCTGCATTTGGAGCGAGATACAATTACAGACTACTGTATTTCTTTGATATGCTAACAACCTGAAAGTATAGTATTACACACTGACTATCCATCTTGTTATTTGAAAGTATAATTCACTCAGTGCTAATTGTGTAGAGCGCAATGAAAAAAAAACAAATCAAAAAGAGTTCGAATCACAGGTTTCCCTTTGTAATTCAACGAATACAAGAACACATACTTTATTCGAGGGTGGCTAGCAAAAGACTCACGTGTGTGCACTTATAATGGCTTAAAAATATCACTTCTAGTATTATTATTTTTCCCTTGGGTTAATAATAATAACATAGGGCTTCCGCAGGACGTCTCCATTCCACTCTATTCTCTTCAGTCTTTTTCTAAGCTGGATCCACGATTGTCCACAAGTCCTCATTTCCTCCACACACAATAGCTTCCATGTCATCCTCGGACACCGAACTCGTTATTTCCCATCCGACTGCCACTTGATGCCAGTCGACGGTCTCCTCAGCGTGTGTCCAATCCTCCCTTATTTCCTTCCTCAACGCACCAAATCACTCAATCATAAAAAGTACTCATATGACATTACATTTGGAAATGCGAATCATGATCTTTATGCTGACTGCAGCAGATTTCCACACTAATTTCAAAGTAATGAATGTCTGCCTTACTTTTCTGATGCTGCCTAAATGTAACATCCTCATCTATACCGTCCGTAGTTGGAACAATGCTGCTCAAATAATTGAAAGAAGTGATGTCCGAATTTCATCCGTCTATAGTGAGTGATTGGTGCTTGTTATTGTTGTTGGTCAGGTGTTTTCACCAACCCCATCTTCTCTATGTTCACTTCAATTCTATCTTCGCTACTTGCTTCTTCTTCCAAATGTTGGCTTTTGTCTGTAGACCTTTGAGTTTATATGACATTAGACATAAACCCTCCACAAGGTCCAGATCTTTTACAATCTTCTTGTCAGTTCAACGTATTCCTGTCTCCTTCTTCCCCGCGGCCTGGGAGGGGGGCATGATCCTATTCCCCACAATCAAGTGTGTCATCGGTGATAGTAAGCAGCTTTGTCTTACTCCAATCTTCCCGTCAAATGCAAGATGATGCTACAGGATTGGACTACACCGACCCCTAGATTAGAAATAGTGGGTGAAGTGGTAGAGCACGTTGACCGCTTCACTTATTTAGGAAGTTGCATCGGCCCCAACGGGTTGATCTCTGACGAAATCTCAGCACGAACACAGAGGGCTAGTTTCGCATATGCCAGTTTACGCCACCTTTGGCGTAGACATGATATCCGGCTATCGACCAAAGAGCGTGTGTACTGCTCAGTAGTCCTCTCCGTCCTCCTTTATGGCTGTGAGACCTGGCCATTGAGAAAGATAGACATGAAAAGACTAGCTGTCTTTGATCATAGTTGTCTGCGTTCTATCTCCCGTGTGAAGTGGTATAATAGAGTGAGCAATATTGAGGTAAGGCATCAGTCGAGTGCTAGGTAAGGAGGGGAAATCAATCAACGGGGCTGTGAAGCTACATCGACTGAGATGGTTAGGACATGTGTTACGTATGCCTAGTCATCGCCTTCCTCGACGGGCAATGTTAGCTGACATACGGTCAGGCTGGAAAAGAGCTAGCGGCGGTCAAACCAAAACATGGCACCAGTCAATGAAATCCATAACAGTTAGTCTAAGCCACGTAGGAAGGTGTTGACTTTCTGGTTGGGGTCCTCGGGATGGTAAAAACCAATGGTTGGAAACGATTGGTGACATGGCTCAAAATCGTTCTCAATGGCTGGTGCAGATGCATCCACTCCTTGTGACTTATGATTTCCAATTAAACTGTTTTGTTCTCCGTTATTACTATTCCTTTGTCTCACACCTCTGTTTACTGTCTCTAATATGCATTTCTCCTACTTTCTTCTCTTGCTTTGTGTGCTACATGGAGGGAGTGTGGCGACTTGAACTGCTGCACATATGTTCAAAGTTCTATGTCGAAAACAGACAGACAGAATCTTCACTTGAAATGTTAAGCGACAGGTTTTTGGCTGGTTCGTGTCTAGGATTCTCTGTAGTTTCTCCTTTCCAGCCAACTACCATCTGATCTTCAACATCGAGCTAACCAAGGCAACTGTTCATAAAAGTATGCTTTCCGTGATGCACCGAAATCTTTAAAATCATACAGAAGTACTGATTAGACATTAGATCTAGTGAATAACTGCCACAAAACAACCATACTACGCAGTAATCCATATCTTCTGTGTAAAGATTAATGAGACATACTAACTCTCAGACTAGTCCATACTAGGTAGAATGAACACATTCATTTCATTTTGATTTTAGCTTGATTCTACACCGTAATTTTGGTACAACTATGGAATTTTCAGCATGTGATATCGGTAGGCCAAATTTTTGCAGGCCGACCATTGATATCAGGTGTGCGTCGGCAAGGGATGGAACCCCGGACCATGTGTACATGGGGTCGGCGACAGTCCTAACCCCCTGTACCACCGACACACATGACATCTACAACAATGAGTCACAACTTCTTTTTTTTTTAAACAAAAAAGGTATCATGGCTTTAATTATTATTTTGTATTCAAATGTTTGCTTTAAAAAAAGATGATTCATTAAATCAAACGCAGAAAAAAACAGGAAGATAAATTAAGTCAAGATAAAAGGCAACAATAGAAGAGACGAATAACACAAAAAGCAGACAAAACGTTATACACAATATAATCTGTTTCCTTGTGTCTGCAATGTGCGTGTGTGTGAGTGTGTATGCGTGTGAATAAGTGTATAAATCTGTTTGTGTGTTTGTTTTATACTCCAGAAAGAATACAACAATATGTATGTATAATAAATCAATCAAAAGTATATAAAGTAATGACAGTGTTGTATAAGTAAGTGTTTGATCATTAAGTAATTTATTAACTATAATACTTTAAAATAGGAGGATTTAAAAAATAGTAATAATAATAATAATAACAATATTATTATTAACAATTCACAGTGTTATTTGAATTAAAAAACAAAAATTTGATTCCTTGGACGCTTTGAAAGATTATCGTCAAGATACATTAGTAACTGAAAGGGGAAAAAAACACAGACAACACATTTGTTTAAGTGAATTGTCTACTTTCCGGTTGAATGATTACACTGGAGTGAAATGTTCGCGGTCAGTGTTGACATATCAGTGCTTTTGCTACGGACGCAGTAGAATTCAAGGATGCGTATCTCCTCCCTATTGGCTTTATATTCCAAGTAACATAGTGGATAACGCGCTTTAGTGTTTTGACTGGGCCCCAGTCTCAATGGGAGACATGTCATCACTCACTAGGGATTGTAGGTACACCCGTCTGACCAGTCCTAAATATGAGGAGGAGGAAATAAGCTTCCTGAATTCCACTGCTAGTCACCATCCACCGTAGGAGATCATGATAAAAACACATTTTGAATATAAATCATTGCATACTTTGATTGGACACTAGTAACTAGTGTGATGTGTCTAGACTTTTCTTTGATGCAGACTGAATTCTGTCAGTCAGGTTTTGCAATGTGGCCACCATTATAGGTAGCTCGCTTTCATTGTGTACATTGGTTTGATGATATTAGGTGGTTAGAGGCAATCGGCAGTAAGTCTTGTTTCACCGAGATTTCATGCTAGTTGGCACTCACCAGTCAGTCAGCAAGGCGTATCTGCAACCATGAAGGAACTCATGTCCCTTCTGAGATTGGAACCGGTGTCACCCAGTGCCACCTGCAGTCAGAGACGTTACCACTGAGCTATTCGGGCTCGCGATTGACCTCCTGTAGGACTGTAGTGGATACTTTGATTGGACATTAGTAACTAGTGGGATACGTCTAGTCCTTTCTTTGATACAGACTGAATTCTGTCGGTCAAGTTTGCAGCACTGGGTGACGCGGATTCGAATCTCAGAAAGGAAATGAGTTCTTTCAAGGTTGCAGATATGCCTTGCTGACTGGTGAGTGCCAACTAGCACGAAACCTAGGTGAAGCAAGGCTTCCTGCTGATTGCCTCCAACCATCTAATATCACATATCATTATACACTGGAATTAATGTTATCACTCCATTGGGTATATGACACAATGTAAGTGCGTGAAATAAAAGTGATGGTTCCCTGTGCATCGGTTTATCTTCTTTTTTCCTTAAGTACTACTGCTTCACATGTGTGTTGATCGGCTCGCCTTTCAGTGTCTCGGGTTCGAATCTCGTTCCAACTATTCTTAGCTTGGATAGCATCATCAGACCTCAAAGAATAACAAGTGTGGTTCAAAGCCTGATACCATGTAACTGACCAGTGTACTATAAGGCTGGAATCACCACTGATATGAGGTGTTATAGGATCACATACGAATTTCACGGTTAGAAGAATCTATCTTAGGTATATTTAGTAATCTTGCTTTTCTAACGTATCAGTAGGTTGAATTGTCAAGTAAACTCTCCTTCAAGAAGTAACCAATAGCTTGAGTCCTTTATAGGTAATATACCATACTGTTCGAATTCTATTTTTATGCCGATAAATCTAGTTCATGTATAAGTTTCTTAATCATTTCATCTAGCGACTTAATACTCTACTAAGATTTAGTATTTCTATTGATGTGTCACTTCATTTTATTTGCTTATTTTTGAAATCCGTAAAACGACTCGACATGTCATATAAAAAAAGCAGACAGTATTTTAATGATCCCTTTGTAATTTCACTTTTGTATTTATTTATTTTTAACTGATCAGACACATATGTGGAGATGTCGCCTGTTGGTTTCAGTACTCGGACTTCAGCTAAGAGGTCACGGGTTTGAGTCCCGCTTTACTCACTCTAGAATGGAGAACTGGTTAATAGTATTATCAGACACTGCACAATAAGTGCAATTCGTAGCCTGGTACACGAAAAATCTGTTTGAGGCAGATGAGTCCATTAGTGAGTGATGAAAAACACTGAGAAAGGTGAATCAACAAATCTTTTCATTCTTATCTAATTTAGTCACCCACCTCTCATTTTAAATGAATTATATTCCGATTGAGAACAAAGTTCAATTTATTAATGATACTACGTACTTTTATCTCTTACAGTAATCTATTGCTGAATAGCTTTATTTTCATATATATATATACATATATATATATATATATATATATATAATTGTAGTTGAAACACTTAATGTGTTCATTTACAATTATTAAATAATCAACCATAAAATCTATTTCATCACGAGCCCTCATAAACGACATGGTACGGGCCAACATAGGATAAAACTTCGATCTTTCTATCGGAATGCTGTCATGAGGTCACGCGTTCAAAGCATCCGCAGGTACGTCCTATTTACTGGATTTAAACAACTGGGTGTCCCTCACAAAAGTGAGAGTAGATGAGGAAGTCTAGCATTTACAAACGGACTGGTGTGATTGTCTACACAGGGGGCTGGAAAATTCTGATTTTAAGCCTATAGTGTGCATGAGCTCCAGAATACGGAGGGATCAAATAGGGAATGAATCTGTTTCGGTCACCACCTGATAGGAACCAGCATAAAATAGTATATCATCCTTTCTCACGAATCGTGTGATTTATCTTGTAATGGAGTTACTATATTAATCCATCATTTATCACGCATATTGTGATTTATTTTGTGATCAATTCATCGTCGTTTATCTCACCTTGGTCTTTGTTGGGTCGCCAACCAATAAGAACAGTCCATTCTCAGGGCTGTGAGCCAACTGTATTGTAGAGAAAATGTATAAATATGATGTGTTGTTTCCTAATAAATATGCAGTATTTTACAGTCACAGGCCAGCTTTTGGCTTTTGATATTTGTGTGGCTCAGTGAAGCGGAAGGTACAACTGGCGAACAGGCGTATTAGCGTACCAGTTGAGTTCATTACCGTTATAAAAATTAGCGGCGCAGATATAACACCGCTAAGCATAGAGAGGCAGCTCCTGACTTTTGTTCACTGCAGCAGTAGCCCACCTGCTTTGGTTTGGGCGCCAGGGCAGTATTTCAGCCCTGGCAAAAACTATACGATTTCCTGTGGCACATTTCTTGGTGCCCATTATGTACGAAGTTTGTGTTTCAGTACATTCAATAATTAATTATATACATACTTCATGACATCAGAAATACCCTTATCACAGTCTTTTCCTGCTGAGTTATTTCTAGAAAAATAGGACAGTGTAGTAAATAATTGTCTCAAATATTTTGTTAATCAATATAGACAGTTGTTTCATCCTAGTTTGGGACTCATCGGCAGTACACACCGACTGCCAGGGGTAGAACCAGGGACCTTCCGGTTACAGGGCAAGCTCGTATACTATTCAGCCACTGGGACCCGATTCAACGACCAGCCCATGAATTCTAACTTCTACCAATTCGTGATTTTAGCGGGACCACCAACCAATATCATCAGTGAGAATTCCATTCTCACTCCCGACTGGATGGACCCCACTAGTCACAAATTATAACACGGTTTGATATCAGTCAGAGACCTATTGAAAACCAGTCGGGAGTACTGGACAGCTGTTTCATCCTAGTTTGACACTCATCGGCAGTACGCACCCTACAAACTAATTCTTGAAAATTATTATAAAATCAAGTAAGTAAGGCGATTTATCCACCCGGAAAACAATAATAAATTAAAGTATACTGACAGAAAACGCAAAACTGACTAACATTTGTCAACCTACCATAAACGAAAAGAACATAGATATGGAAGATAAAAAGTGCCAAACATCATGGGCATCGTAGAAATCCAATAAAACACAGGGTTGATTAAGTGCACGAGAGCGAGCAGGAGTTACCTGAAAAGTGAGCGATAATTGAAATAAAAAACACACAAAATGTTTTCATCCAACTATGACAATCATAGAGATAAATAATATTTCTTCTAAAAAGAGACGATAAACAGGTTGGTTAGGCAAAGGACAATGCTTGCTGTGATATTTTTACTTTTTTTTCATTCATTTGCGTTCCCAGTGGAACGTAGAGTTTCAGAAGTGAGCTTATTGGCATTCTAGTGGCAGTGGTATTTGTTTTTACGGTGGGGGTGGGGGGTTGCGAGTCCTACACCGAACCTACCCGCTCTTTCCTTCGCTTACTACCAGCTAATTGAGACTGGTGAGTTCGTCGACCGTGTGAATCGAACCCGAGTCACGTACGTGGTTAGCAAGCATTCCACCATTGAACCACCAACCCACTACTAACAGTATACTTGTATTATTAAATACCATTTCCTCTAATGAATCCATTTAGTATTTTAACATAAGATTCATCCTGCTGTTAAAGCATACAGCCTCATATACCAAATACGAATATAGAATTCGTGTGTTGGTGTTTTTTTCAAAAAAAATGCTTTTCAATGTTAAACATATAAATAAGCAAAACTCAAGTGAATTTTCGACGTAGAACTAACTTTGTAGAAAAATGCAGCAGATTTAGGATGACATAACTTCGTAGAACCACACATAAAACTCAAACAAAAAACAAACATGCAAATCGACTATAGTAAACAGAAATGTATGGGAGAAAGATGTAATAACATGGATCTTGAAATTCATAAAAACTGACTGCATCTGCACCATTGAAAACAACTTTGAGCCATGTCACCAACAGTTTCAAGAACACTAGCCAAACATTCTACGTCCACCAAGGTGATTAAAACCAGCCAGACAAAGACTTCATGGATTGTGGCTACGTTTGAACTGTACCACCCTTAACTTTTTTCCAGCCTAATCCTGTGTCGGCTAACGCATTGCTCAATGAAGAAGGCGATGACTTGGTATGAGTAACACGTTCTAGTCATCTCAATCGAAGCAGCTTCACAGCTTCATTGATCAAGTTCACTTCCTTACCTAACACTCTATGTATAACCCGAATACTACTCAGCAGACTATACCAGTTGACACGGAAGATGGAAAACAAACACCTCTTCAAGTCTTCCAGTTTCAATGGCCATGTCTCACAACCGTAAAGGAGGACGAAGTGGACTATAGCGTAGTACACATATCATTTGATGGATAGCCGGATATCCAGTCTACGTCAAAGATGACATAGATTGTTAAGTATCACACGAACATGCAGATAACGGAAAACCTTATTATCATTATTGTATCCTTTAATTCCTAGAGGAACATAGGGCTTCAGCCGTGCCTCTCCATTGCGTTCGGTTCCCTGCTAGAGTCTTCACCTGACTCCAAGTCTGCCCACACGTTTTCATCTCCTCTTCACATGACCTCCTCCAAGTCACCCTTGCACTGACGACCAACTCGCCGCTTCCCTTTCCGGTTCCACTCAAGGGCTTGTCTAGTGATGTCACTTGATGGTTTCCTCAGAGTATGGCCAATCCATCTCCATTTCTTTCTGCCTATTTGTTTCACAATCGGTTCCTGCTGGGTTGGTTCGCTCATTGCCAGAGATCCCTGTTGCTGATCTTTTCTGGCCATCTGATCTTGAGTATTGAGTGAAGACAACTGTTAATGAAGGTCTGTAGTTTGTTTGAGATGCTCTTTATGACGCACAGTGCAAGTCTCTGATCCGTATAGTAGCACTGACTTCACATTGGAGTTGAAAATCCGGATCTTATTTTTGATGCTGAGTGTTGTTGACGTCCACACAGACTTGAGAGTAGTGAAAGCTTGTCTTGTTTTTCCGATTCTTGCTTTGATATCCTCGTCAGTTCCGCCTGTAGTTGAAACGATGCTTCCCAGGCAGGTTGTTTCTTTCAGGTTCCTCCCATTTACGCTGATTGTTGTCAGTTGTTGTTGTTCTTGCCCAGGAATCTTCATTACCTCTGTTTTCTCTATGTTCACCTGAAGGAAGTCCTATCTTTGATGCTTCTTCTGCTAACTTGTTGATTTTCGCTTGCATGTCTTTCAGTTTGTGGGAAATCAGACATATATCATCGGCGAAGTCCAGATCCTCCAAGTGTTTTGTGTGTGTCCATTTTGTGCCTGTTTCCTCATTGCCCATTGTTTGTCGCATTATCCAGTCTACTGCAATCAAGAAAATCATTGGCGATAGTAGGCAGCCAGCTTGTCTTACTCCTGTCCTCACTTCGAAGGGTTCCGTAAGTTTCCCGTTGTGGATTACTTGGCATGAAGCATTGTCGCATAGCTGTTGGAAAACCTTACTGTTTATTTATTAACCCAGGCTATTACACTACATATCAACAACAATTATAAAAATATTTGTCGGAAGACAAAAATCTCGGAAAAATGGGATTCAAGACATGATGATAGCATTTTTAAGGTTTGCATCTTGGTCACTAGAATTGAGGTGAAGACAAGAAGGTTGTATTTCGTAAAGTTGAAGGCTTGCATTCTGATCATCCAAATTACTTAAGTACATTAATGCAGTACAATACATTTAACTTTTGCAAGTGTCATCAAGTGACCAAGTTATAAGCAAGTAATGTTACAAAGGCGTTAGTGATCAATTACTTGAATACATTGTTTCTGTCTGTCTGTCTGTTTTCGACATAGAACTTTGCACTGATGTGCGGCAGTTCAAGTCGCCACACTCCATGTAGCACACAAAGCAAGACAAGAAAGTAGGAGAAATGCATAATATAGAGAGTCAACAGAGGTGTGAGACAAAGGAGTAGTAATAACGAAGAACGAACAGTTTCATCGGAAATCATAAGTCACAAGGAGTGGTTGCATCTGCTCCAGCCATTGAAAACGATTTTGAGCCATTTCACCAATTGTTTCCAACTATTGGTCTTTACCGTCCCGAGGACCCCAACCAGAGAGAAGTCTACACCTTCCTACGTGGCTGGCTTAAACTAACTATTGTGGATTTTATTGATCGATAAAACCATGTTTTGGTTTGACCACCACTGGCTTGCTCTTTTCCAACCTGATCCATTCTATGTCAGTCAGCTAACGTCGCCCGTTGAGGAAGGTGATTGATGGCTAGGTATATATAACACATGTCCTAACCATCTCAGTCGATGTAATTTCACAGCCTCGTCGACTGATTTACCCTCCTTACCTAGCACTCGACCGATGCCTAACCTTAATATTGCTCACTTGATTATACCATTTCACACGGGAGATAGAACGCAGACACCTATGATCAAAGACAGCTAGTCTTTTCATGTCTTCCACTCTCAATGCCCAGGTTTCACAGTCATAAAGGAGGACGGAGCGGACTGATGAGCAGTACACCCGCCCTTCGGTCGAATATATCGTTTAAAAAAATAAATGATCATTCGTTTACAGTCCAAATAACTGAGAGCTAATTTAGTAATGTAGTATTATCTTAACTTACAACTAGAACTCAGAGCACCAAAACTATTAAAACCGAAATGAACTTATACGAAAGTTCAGGCATCATATGATTGTACGTGTAGAGGAAAGGTTTTCATTAACTTAATTATGACTCAGTAATTTAACTCCCATAGAGGTCAGCTCAAAGTTCACCATTGTCCTTGACCGAAAGACCTTGATCTCTCTATATATTGTTAAATGAGCTCTTTTTTATGAAAACCATTGTAAATCAATATATTTCCGAATACCAACGGTTGATGAAAAAGGTGCGTGAGTGGTCAAATTCATGGATATGCTTATATTTCATGATGGTACTATACCTTTAAATTATCTCTAACAGTGGATAACATACATGAAAATTCGACTGGACACTTAGCAACTAGTATTGTGGTGAGTGCTACTTACAATCAGATATAAGTAGTATATCGGTAAACGAATTCAGAAGAGTAACAATATGTTTTGAGCACTGGAAAAAGCAATCAAAGAATATAACTGTAAGAAGAACGTTACAACACTGTTCAGAATCCAACAATATATGGAATGTGACGATATTCAACTAATTTGGAAATGATGTGCCAGTAAGGCATTGAAGATAAGGTATACAAAAATTTATGTACCCACGAAAGGTTTGTCCTAATTAACATACCTTCAGGCATCATCGATCTTTTCTTCTTTACAGTATCATGCGTCTAGTCCTTCTAATGATCATCTCATAACAACAATTCAGAATGCACAGTGATGTCAAGCCACCTAGTAGCATGGTGGCTTACATTGCAAACTTGACGGATAGAATTCAGTCTGCACCAAACGAAAGACTAGACAAATGATACTAGTTACTAAATATTGTCTAGAGCATCCAATACAGTCCAGTAGTAACGTCTTTGACTGCACCACTGGGTAACACTGGTTCGAATCTCATGAGGGACATGAGTTCCTTCAAGGTTGCATATATGCCTTGCTGACGAGTGCCAAGAAGCATGAAATCTGGATCCAATGCTCGCCAACAAAGGCTTTCAACTGTCTAATACATGAAACTACTGTTAAAGTAAGGAGTTAGCTTTCATTAGCACGTTTAAATGTGCTTGTAGTTGAAGTATCTCGGAGTGCTGAAAACGAGAATGCGATTCAAAAATTTTAGGCATACGCACTGCATAGTACCAAGTCAGATATCAGCGAAATGGAAATAACAGTTGCAGTACTCTACATGAAGGTATGTAGTACTGAGTAGTAGTGATTAGTAGTCAGATGTAAGCGAACTAAACACCGGACAGTGGTTTGAAAAGATAAGTTAACAATAGAAAAAGGATAGTGAAACTTTAAAATTTAAAGAAAGATGAGGAGTCAATCAGACTTTACCAAATGAAACAGTCAGTTTTATTCAACTGGAAGACATAAGTGGAGTTCACACCGTTTTACACTGACATTTAGACATTCACAAATTTCAGTTGAATCGTGACACAATAACAGTTGGTAAAAAGTTATAGAACAAACTTACCTCCCACGTAGTTGTTCGTGATAAGTAGAAATATATTGCACAGCCCCAAGAAACACAAGCTAACAAGATATACACTAAAGATAGCATTTGGAAGCGTTCACGATGTCGTAACTTGAGGAAAAATGGAAAGAGAAATAACAGAAAGTGGATTTTATGAATACAGAAAAAGAATTAAAGCGGTAAGATTAAAATATTGACAACAAAACGACTTCAGTGTTTAGTGTGACCACCACTGTAGTGGTGGTTCCATAGTGGAACGATTCTACTTGGTATAGACCACAGTCAACTGAATAGAACTATATGACTTATTCTCCTTGAATTTAGTTTACTTCGCCTTTTCAGTTTATAACAAGAGTTTTTATGTAATAGAAAACGAACTAAGCTTGATTTATAAGAGCGTATGATATGACCCAGTTGTGAAGGACATAGTAAATCATCTACAAGTACATGACTCATTAGGTAAAATTACAGTGGTTCAAGTCAATGATCCAGAATCATCGCATTTTGCAAATTTGTACTATTACTGTTGTTATTCCCTGAGTTCCGCCTGGAACATACGGCTTCAGTAGCACATCTTGACTTCACTCTGCAGTTCTTTTCAGATGGTTCCACAATTGTCCATAAGCTGTCATTTCCTCCTCACACGATCCCCCTCATATTATCCTCGGACGCCCAAGTCGTATCTCATTTGGGTTCTTTTGGATGGTATCCATTATTTCCTTCTACGTAATTTTGGGCAACAGATCCTTGGTTGGTTATTTTATTCTAACTGAAAACAATCATGTAGTGCTTAAAGATACTCAGTAAAGATTAAACATAATAAATAAGAACAGTTTATTTGGCACTGACTGCTTTTATTGAATTCGAATTTCGCTTTCTTTATCAATGTGATCTATTCCTTATTAGTTGATAAATTTGATTTGTAACCATGCATCCGTTGATCGCTAATTCGTCTAAGCACCAGGCTTCTGGGAATTCCCTGACATTTTTGGTACTATTAGTGTTTTAAATTTCTACACTTTTCCAGTCAAACTGGTCTCTTTAGTTGTCTATACGCATTGATGATATGTGAGAATACATCTCGTGTCTTTTAACAGTCAGTTTATGTTCTTGAACTCGGAGTCAAATGGAACACCCACTTCAACCAATATAGTGCTTACCGCAATGCATGCAATTTATTCTGTAGATGATGTTGACCTTGTCTTTATTTGCTATGCGAAATTTTGGTCTCTATAGCGTTCAATGAAGGGGTTGTGTTGGTGTGTGCTGTTATTGCCTATTCCGAATGGTTTGATTAATTTAGCTGTGTTTTCTAGAAACAATCTTAAAATATGGCCGGATGAAGTTTCTGAGGACAGTTTCCAAAAACAAGTAAAGCAGTTTAAACAAGGAGGGGGGGAGGGGTAACACTAGAACGTCACAATTAAGTTGACTCAGATCCAATTTCCAAGCGTTTGCAGTTTTAAAAGCATTTCGAATAGTTCTGACATGTGATCCAGGTAAACAGGGTTACCAGTTTTGTCAAATAATATGATGCAGTCCTTTGCATAAACGAGGAGTGAACATTCAAATCTATTTTCTATAAGATTGGATTAATTTTTATTTCTCTACTTTAAGAGATTTCATTATTATTAAACTGTGTATAGATATGATGATATCAAAAATCCTGCATTCATATTCAAGTGTTGTTAAACTGTAAACAGCTACTTCTAACATTGAAATTTCCTACCAGTAATAATGTGAAGAGGGTTGTGTGCATGTATGCATGCACCCCACCAGGATACTATTTAGGTGCGTCAGTGGTTCAATAGTAGAATGTTCGCCAACCACACATGGGGTTCAGGATTCAATCCCCAGCTCATGCACTATTAAACCTCACCTAGTTAAGCCCCCATAGACGACCTGGTACAGCCGACGGTGTAAGTCTTCATTTCGAAAAGCTCTCATGTGACCACGCCTTCATAACTCTACCAGGTAAGTTCTATTCTCTGCCTTCATGTAACAGGGCAGGGGGGGGGCTGTGTTCCTCACAATAGTGAAAGGATGAATGAGAACGTCTGAAGCTTACAACTAGACTGATGGGCATACCGGTTTTTAAACAGGAGAGCTGGAAAATACCTGATTCCAAAACCTATGGTATACATGGCCTCCAGAATGCCAAAGGATCAAATAGCATATGAACCCGTTTTAGTCACTGGCAATTATGCGAAAGCAGCCCCTGACTATGCTCCAATGCTTCCTGGATCAGACTTCAGGTCAAAGGCTTGGCGGGGGGTAGCCCTTTTTGACAACCAAATGCCTCGGTCTGGGCGTTCGGGCAGTATCGCAGCCCTCGCACAAACTATGAGATCTCGTGTGGTGCATCTCTTGACGCCCATAATGCCCAGAATTTTTGTTTCGTTAATAATAGCCATTAGTGTACGTGAGTTTTAAATGAAACCAGTATCTTTTGTAGGCCATAACAAGATGATTTCATTTCCGCAATTAGCAGAGAAAAAGAGTATCGGGTGTTCATAGTAAATTCTAAGGAATACAAAAAAAATAAATAAATAAATAAACACAATTTACACTTTAACTTCAAAACGAATGGTTTAAAACTAGTTATGTGAAATGTGCAAAATGATATAAATAAAGATTTTTTTTAAAAATCAACCAAAGAATTTTTGAATATATAGTTTTAAAACGAATATTTATTCACTCTTCACTACTCAGTGTACTTTTTGATTTTATGCAAAGTTGTACGTGTTGTTGTTTTCAAGTAGGTTATTTTTTTTTTGAAAGAACTATTCACCATTGAATAATTTAATAAAGGAGACTTATCAACTTAAAAATTTTGCATAAAAGTTCATCGATTCAAATATTCATTTTGTTTACTGAAGATGTATATCACAGAGTGAAACAGTAATATATCGAACAGAATTTACTATTCATAAGTATATATATCAGTTGTAACTGCAGCAATTCATGACACAATTTGCAGTTCTCCTTCTTCTTCATTCCCATTTGTTGTAAGGGTAGTGGAATTTTTGACATATATCAAAATTCTGATGGTGACTATGCTTGCTAAATAGGCAGCAGACAACACGGTAGGGGGACTTATTATGGGTTGAAATACGCTCGATGAAATGAATGAGAACAGAGAACTCTTGACAGACTTCTGCTCCTTCAATGATTCGGTAATTGGAACCAACGTGTACAAGAACAAGGATATACACACACTGATGTCAGTTTCATGAGATAGACACACCCAAAATCTGATTGACTTCATACCAATCTCAAGAAAGCAAAGATACAAATTCAGATCACTATTTAGTACGGCGAGCCTTCAAGATTAGTTTGAAAGCCTTCAAAGAAGCTGGAGGTAGAATACAACTCAAGTTCAACACTCAAAAACTAAGAGATGAAACTACAAAGTACACCTATACTGCAGTCATCATGGAGAATTCTGAGGGTGAAGAAAAACACCGGAGCTGTCTGACAGTGTTATGAAAGTAAGCCTCCGTAGACATCTTATTAAGGGAGAATAGGCTAAACAAGGAACGGCTCTCTACAGACAAATTGTAGATGACAGAGGAGAGATGGTTAGTGAATCAGCAGATGCAGGAAGAAGCTGAGTGTAATCTACAGAGCACTGAAAAAAGGAGAGCATTCATCCTTTACACATCCATTAATTGAAGTTGTCACTCTTCGGGAAAGCACAAATAAAATTACAGAAAAAAATGTAATAAAACTACAATGGACATATAACAAGAAAAATAGATGAAACTGAATGAACATTTATGAAATCTGGAAGATGAATTGTAGTGAATACACCAATTGGAGCCATGTAACCAACATTCTCGCATTCTGAAGAGTCAAGTTAGGCAATCTACACTCCCCCCTAGGTAGCTCAAACCTATAGTTAGAAAATTCAAATATTAGTGTGGCGTGTTTTGATCTCACCACTTTTGACCGATTAGTAACTAGAATGCAATTAATGTCATATTGGACAGTTTCAGGTGGTGAACGAACACTACTCATCAAGTTTGCAAAATGATTACCAAGCTATACACTACATGTGAAATTGTAAGTATCCCCTTTACTTGATTATGTTTTCCGAGTTCGAGCTACTTTTGTGACAGAGATTTACAGATTCTCTAATGTACTACCATCTCTATGCAGCAATAAGCAAACTGATGCAAATTCATAACAAAATCTCGGGTAAACTATCAAAGCTGGCTGGCTAGCTGGATTCAACATAGAACTTGGCACCGAAGTGCAGCAGTTCGAGTTGCCACGTTCCAAATAGAACACAAAGGTAGACAAGAAGATGAGTGAAGAGAATCAATAGAGTTTTGACAAGTATAAGAGTGAAACAGAATGAGTAATGGTAGAAAGGAATATGAAAGATTACAGAGACTGAATACATCTGCGTAAGCCATTGACAACGATTTCGAGCCATGTCACCTATTGTCTCCAACCATTGATTCTTAGAGTCCCGAGGGCGGGTCCCAACCCGGAAGTCTGCATCTCCCTCCCCACCTGACTCAGTTTAACTGTCAGGGATTTCATGGATTGATGCCATGTTTTTGTTTGGCCACCACTTACTCTTTTCCAACCTGCTAATAATGACCGTCGTGGGAAGCGATGGCTAGGCATGCGCAGCACGTGACCTAGCCATCTCAATCTATGTAACTTTATAGCCTCTTCGATTGATTTTCCCTCTTTGCCCAACACTCTACGCCTATCAAAGACTGTTGAGGGGTTTCAATAATCCACTAGTACACATTTTTATTAATGAAATAACTGTAAATAGTTTGAAAAAATCCTTTTCTTTGTGACCTCATTTTATGAGGAAACGTAAGTAAAACTGAAGCATGTTTTTCCTTAAAAATAAGGAAATGGACACCTATCGCATTCAATTAGCAGGAGTTATTAGATGTTTACAGTCTTCCATCATCAGTTGCCTTCGCCGGCTACATACTAAAGATGAGATGGCTGGCCAGAAAGAATAAGCAACAAGGAACTCTGGGAACGGGCCAACCAAAAACTTACCGCCCAACAAATATGCAGAGGAAAATGGATATGGACATACGGCGAGGACACCCATTGAGTGATATCATACGTCAGGCCTTCACGGGTAGAACCTTGAGTGAAAAGCGTTGAGTTAAGCGTCCAACAGTAACAAATAAATCATACGAAGACTGAATGAAAGTATGTGGTCAGAGTGAAAGATGATGGTGACTAGTGGTGGAATCCAGTCACTGGCCCCCCAAATAACAACACTGAGTTGACACTAGTCACTGACTAGTGTAGTGTGTCTAGTCCTTTGTTTGGTGCAGACTGAATTCTATCAGTCAAGTTTGTAATGTGGCCAGCATTCTAGGTGGCTCGCTATCACGGTGCACTTTAAATTGTTGATACCAGATGGTTGGAGGCAATCAGTAGGAATCCTTGGACCTAGTTTTTATGCTAGTTGGCACTCATCAGCAGGGCATATCTGCCGATTGCTTCCAACCATCTAATATCCATAATTCAAAGTGCACCAGCCACCTAGAATGCTGGCCACAACATTACAAACTTGACTGATAGAATTCAGTCAGCACCAAACAATGGACTAGACACACTACACTAGTCAATGACTAGTGTCAAATCAAAGCATCCAATACAGTCCTACAGGAGGTCAACCGGGAGCCCAAACAGCTCAGTAGTAACATCTCTGACTGCACCACTGGGTGGCGCAGGTTCCAATCTCAAGATGAACATGAGTTCCTTCAAGACTGCATATACGCCTTGCTGACGAGTGCCCAGAAGCATGAAATCTGAGTTCAATTGTCGCCGCCGATTGCCTCCAACTACTTACTATCAACAAATAACAACATGCTAATCCTTAAACATCGTCAAAACATCCGTACTGGGAGCCAACAGGTCAACAGGGACTGATTATTTCGGGCCAATATTATCCAATCAACGGGAAGTACAAAATCAAAATTTAACAAAGGCATATCAGGTGTCAATGTATGTTTTTGTGAAATCCAATACAATCACATCATAAATTTAGTCTTTTCGCATTCAAAAATGCAATAATCCACGGGATGTTGACAAGATACCTATATCATATGACAGTGAAATCAATTTTACGTAATCAGTGTTTATAAAAATTTGTTGAAGCGGCACGCAACAAATGATTTGGTACGCTTTGATTATAAACATAACAACACCAATGTATCAACAATCTTTACTTTTATAGAAACTTGTTACTAAATTAAGGGAGATAGTCACGTTAGCTATGGAAACTATCGAAAATCGAAGAAAAAATTAAACACATGCAGAAAGTGTTTTTGTGTAGAGTTATATCAACTTATTAAATTGTTATTTCATTATGAGCTGACATTGGTTAGAGAGGCAACACTTGAGTATCAATGAGATGCTCACTGGCGACCAGTAGGGTGCAGCAGGTCGGTTGTGAGAAGAAATACTTGCTGAAGACATTGGCTAGTGGTTGCACTATGTGGTGAATTGGCAGAAGTTAGAATTCATGGACTGGCTATTGGATCGAGTCTCAGTGGCTTAATGCTCTACGAGCTCGCCTTGTAACCAGAAGGTCCTGGGTCCGAACCCCACAGTGTGGGTGCGTACTGCTGAAGAGCCCCAAAGTAAGACAGAGGAAACAGCTGTCCAGTACTCCCAGGTTTTCCAATGGTTCTTTAACCAATGTCAGCTCATGATGAAATCCTGTAACCAATCAAATCCCTACAAACCAACACTTAAATAATTATTATTATTATTATTAATTAAAAATGACTATTTGCATTTTAATTCCAGACTAATCACTCTACAGATGGATGCCTAAACCTCTGTGTGAGATATATCATACTGGAAAATGTAATTAAATTGTTTACAACCTGTAAGTATTGTGAAAAAAAACGGTGGAATTTCTCATTGTTAAACCTTCATTTTTTTTTCGATTCAACGTTTTTCTACCACTACGCTACACAAAACATGAAGCCAACATAAAAAAAAATGTTGTTTTTTTTTAAGAAGGAACAGTTTTGAATCCAATTCTCCATAGTTATTATTACTGAAGGTATCACAACAGTCTTCATTTTGATTCAAATTAGAATCAAGCATACTTGATCGATATATTTACGTGTATATATATATACCACGCATGCAATGTGTGATGTCAAATCGCTGTAAGCCTACTTATCATTCTATAAGAATAAATTATAATTTATCAACTAAATGAATTCTCGTGTGTCTCATTGCTCCATTATGGATAAGATTTTTATCTCGATAAATCACACAGTGTTGTACAGTAATATTAACTGATGACGTCTCGAGCACAAACTATTACTGCTCATAATCATATCAAGTTACTCACACAACTTTTTTCCTTCATTTATATACAAGTGTGGAATCGATTAAAATAAATAAATGTGGAATAAAATTCAATATGGGATAATGTACATTCAGAAATAATAATACGAGTGTCATTGATCAGTTACAATTAGATGGGAAATAAAACGAGTGTTTTTATAGTCATAATAAGTTAGTTCTTAGAATGCTGTCATGTGTTTGAATTGAAATAGAATATTAAGATTATTTATTGTCCTCTTCTGATTTGACTGGCTGGTGGTAATAATATCTTCCATATTTCTGGTATCTGCATTGAGTCATGTCTGTTGCATGTGTTGGGTGTAGACTCAATCAACAAGGATTCCGTAATCAACCTCTCTCTCCACCTACCTATGTTACTCTTTAGAATTTTAACCCTATCCCACTCTATTGTGTGGTTGTTTGTTAATGCGTGAAGTGCAATTGCTGAGCTTTTTTCTAAATTACTTATCTTTTCAGGGTCAACCATTCTTACCTTATTCTTATGTTCTTATAATCTGACTACCCCCGATCTGCTAATTTGACCTAAGTAGTTGAACTCACTCGCAGTCATTGCAGGGTATTTTGTCTAATTGGCTCAAATGGGTCCTTTAATCTACAGAGCTTGTCCCTGAGTGAGTTTGTAGGTTTGAATGCCACCCTAATTCCTGCTTTATTTAGAATCCTACGTAGTTCCTCAGATGTCCCCTCCTTATATGGTATTACAGTGGGTGACTTATATTCTCCCTTATTTATGTTATCACTACTAATCCCACAATTATTTTTATTTTGTTTTTGGCGTTTACTGATCTTCTTAATGAATTTTATAGGATAGTTATTCAACACCAACGCTTCTTCTATCTCTTTTATTTCGTCATTTAGGTCTTTTTTGTGCTACTTAGTGCTATGGCTCAGTTTGTTAGACACTTAACTAAACCTGCGTTAACAGTTAAAGGATGAGACGAATTGAAATCTAAATATCTATTAGAATGCGTTGGTTTTCTATAAACACCAGTGTGAAGTTTACCTTCTTCTATTCGTTTTATTTTACAATCTAACATAGTTAATTCTCCTTGTTCATCTTCCGATTCAAATGTGAATTTTATTCCCTCTACTAGTGAGTTTATATGTGTCAAGAAGCTAGAGATATGTTCTGTTTTTAACACTATCTCATTGATATAAGTATAAAACTTGGGCACTGTGGTAGGATAATAAAGAATCTCAAAATTCTATTTCAATTCAAGCACATCACAACATTCTAACAAGTTACTTATTATGACTAAAAAAAACACTCGTCTTATTTCCCATCTGATTGTAATTGATCAATAACACTCATATTATTATTTCTAAATGTACATTATCCCATATTGATTTTTATTCAAATACCTAGTCAAAATAAAATCTTATCCATAATGGAGTTTCATGTGTCTCATATTTAAACACCTAGTGTATCACAGCTGATTACAGTGTCTTATTTTCTACAGATGAGATAGGCAGAGTAAAGTTTGAAGCTTTGACCGATTGGTTTACAGGCGAATGTGGCTAAACTACCAGCACCTATCACAACTGACTTATTTTTTTTTAAATTTCTTGCGTTTCAAGTGAAATAGGCGGTGGAGGCTTCAAGCTGTGGTGTTGTTTTTTTACAGCATGGCGTTTCTAGCGTCACATCCAACCTTTCTTCTTTTCCAGGGTTACTTATGACTGACTGGTAAACTAGGCGAGGGTTTCAGGAGTGCATCAGACACAAGGAGTCAAATCCATACCTCCCACTTGGTTGACTAACATTCTACCAAAAACCACTGACTCACATTTAGTGGAATAAATATGAGAAATAACAGAGGGGAAAAAGGATGAGAGCACTTTGATTATAATGAAATAAATGCTTTAAAAAAATAGAATCCCTACTTCTGATTGACTTTTGAACTAATTTTTAAATGTGTTTATCTGTAAAAATAGTTGTATATAATGTAATTTTCAACTGAGCAATTAATTAAACGATGAATAAAAAGAAAGGAAAGCAACTTACTTTCATAATCACATAGAAAAATGTGTACATCAATAAATTGATCATAAAAATCGATAGTAAAAAGGTAGAAAAGTCCCTTGGCCGTCGAACTATACCATAACCGGCTCTAAAACAAAAATGAAGCGATAGGGAAAAACATTACAAAATAATTTGAAAAAAAGAACAGAATTAAGATAAATATAAACCGTAGCGGAAGTATAAACATTAGTAATAAACATATTAAAACTATTAAGGTTAGATAGGACAGAAGCATCATCTTGTCAAGCACTTCTCAGTTATACACACAACGCTATGACTATCTACATTGGTATATTGTACTGAAAGCAAGCTTCCATCATTTACTGAAGTACAGACCTGCCATATCGGCAATCGATCCAATCAATAACTGCCAACTTTATCAATGTGTAGACAACGTGACTGGTATCATACTAATATTACTAGTTCTCAGTTAGAATGGCGGTCCTTAGCACAATCTCAACCAAGAATAAATACGGAATATAGAAAAAGATGATGCACACCGCTTTCTGAGTTTATGACAAGAGCAGTGGAAGTTCCGCAAAAGCTAATTGATTAGAAATCAATGTAACGCCCGACAACACCTTTGGCTGGAGAAAGCGAAGAAAAAGACTCATCATCGCCAAGTTATATTCACCAACAGATTAAGCATAGCTAACAGGCAGGTTGTATAACGACTACTGTTGATGAAGTGATTATCAGAAAAGTATGTGGGTTATAACTTTTCCGAAAATAGACAGCCGGAATTTTATGTACAGAACACTTCGAGGCACAGCCAAGATCATATACAGTTATACTATGGTTACTCACCGTCAGATCTTAGTTTGGACAGCATAAGTATGTTGATTCTCCAAACTCTGAAAGGAATTGTCAGAGGTAAGACGAGGTATTGCGACACTAGAAGTCTTAAAGGATTTTGGTGAGAAACCAGTGAACACACTGAGATACTAGTTAGCGTACCGTATTGGAAGAGGACTACAGTTAGCTGATCATTGGAGTTTATAAGAATGAAGAGGAATGCTCGTTATTATTCGCATGATTTCCAAGTGGAACATAAAAATTCAGCAACACATCTTTCTGTTCTCCACAGTTTTTAGCTGGCTCCATAATCACCTGTCAACTTTTGCTTCCTAATCACAGGATCTCTTCCATGGCACTATTGGACCCACGCCTCCCATTTGGCCTACAATCGACGTCCCTGGAGTGTGATGGCACTCAACGGTTTTCATTGCGTGTGTCAGATTTGTCTTCATTTACTTCGGTATATTTAATGCTCAATGTACCCTTGATTGGCCCGTTCCTAGTTTCTTATTGCTTATGCTCTCTGGTCAGTTATCTGATCTTCAGTATCTAGATAAAAGGATTTGTTCATGAAAGTTTGAATTTACGTGTTGCAAATGTTTTTCGTGACACGCACGCTAAGTCTCTGAACCATACAGAAGGACTCACTTACTTAACTTTAGTCGGTGGCATATCGGTTAGGACGCTCGCCGACCACGCACATGGTCCGGGATTCCATCTCCGGCCACAGACGCACTCCTTTACCTCGCTAAGCCAGAACTAAAGCTGGTGCAGAGAAAAGGTTGGGCATGAGGCTAGCAACCCATCCTGTAAAATAAACACTACTACAGAAACTTCAAGCCACTAGCTTGAAGCCCTAAAACTCAGTGTGGCCTGATGTGTGAAGTGTTGTAGATCTCTACACAGATTTCAGAGTAATGAAAGTCTGTCACATGCTTTCTTGGTCGTGACTGGCTTCGACATCCACATCCATGAGGCCCATACTTGAAAAAATGCTGCTCAGGTAGGGGAAATAGACGACGACCCGCAGAATTCTTCCATTATTAGTAATTGGTGTTTATTGTGGTAGTTGGTTACGTATCTTCATCACTTCTGTCTTCTATATGTTCACTTGAAGTTCCATCTTCACTGTCTCTTATAAAAACTTGTTAATTTTCGCTTGTAGCCCCTCTACTTTGTGAGACAGCTAAATCAAGATATTCTCGAGGTTTTTCGTCAGCCCACCTTCTAACTCCCCACGGTTTATTGTATGATCCAGTCAACCACAACTACTATTAGTTTCAATTCAAAGAATTAGCATGACGAATAAAGTAGCTAGATTGAACAGTGTATAGTCATTTCAAGGCTACAGAGAATTATTCAAGAACGGGGGCACCCAATGGGTTCCAAGTGTCAATAAAGATAAATCACACATATTTCCGCAGTTCGAAAGTTTTAAAATCACAAATACATTCTTAAGCACGTGTTATATTTCTTAATCTGATGATGCCATTCACCTCCAACAGTGTCTGACTGTGAAGAAAGTGCTGAAGAAGTACTTTATGTTAGTGGAGACATACTGTGGTGAGACCTGGCTGCTAGCCAAAGTTGGTTTACAGTAATTGACGTCAGTGTTTATGTCCCCAATATTGGTGGTGAGAAAATGAGAACAAAGGCTTTGCGTAGGCGGATACAGTTAGCATATGGATGATCTGACACAGTCACAAGAGATGCACGGTTAACTTTCTGTGAGAAACAACCAATCAAAAGACTGTATTTTCTACTAACAATAATCTACAATAATGTACATTAAAATCTATAAATATGTGTTGATTTTCCTTAATAAACGATCTGTTGCCTGGCCCTTGTCTTCTGTTGTTACAATACTACTCGGTATTCGATTGAAAATATTGTTATATACACCTAGTTTTGCCTAAGACATTAAAATAACCATTTTAAGGAGTTATCGCGCAATGGTGTGAGCCCTTTAATTTCCTCTCTGTTTGGATTGCTGGACTCCTATTGGATGTTAATACTTTTAACCCATCACTGGTTTACTGTATTTTCAAGGTCATTCTAGCTGTGTGTATACAGAGTTTCTGTTAAGCATTTTGACTGTTGTTTGAGACAGCAAAAGCTCTTTTATCGACTCACAGTCTTTCTTATGTGTCTGCATGCTGGCGATCTTATCGTTGTTGTTGACGTGCGATTAGCCAGCACATTAAGTTAGTATTCGCTCATAGTCTACTAGGTCATAATTCCGGTCATAACAAATTTAAGAACCTACAGAAAGTTATCAGATAGAAGTAATAACAATCGCCAGTGATGCCGAATGCTTTTGATCAAATATTAACCTTTTGAAATAAAATGGTTTACTGTGGTGATTATATAATCTATTCATTGTGAAATGGAAATAAAGTTCACAAAAAGAAATAGAATTCTGTAAACTTACAAGGTAAAATTAACCAAGTTGGCAATAAGTAAAAGAAGCATACGCTCTAGGTATGTTGGACGGAAGCAACTTATTCCGTCGGTACGAATTAGGTGATAGATACGTCTTGGTAGGCAAAGATCTTTACAAAAATAAAACACACACAAACACATAAAGGTAGCGAAAAGTATGATTAAAAAACACTTTCGATCAGCTGATTAAATATGAAAGAAAATATAATGGATTGGATAAAACACTATAGTTTTCATGTACGCATATTTCAGTTCAATTCTCAATCACCGTTGAATATTAGAAGCTAAGTGGCATCAGCCCCAACGAGTTGATTGCTGACGAAATCTCAGAACGGATACAGAAGGCTCGTTTTGCATATGCCGGTTTATGCCATCTCTGGTGTAGACATGATATACGACTATCGACCAAAGGGGGTGTGTACTGCTTAGCAGTCCGCTCTGTCCTCGTTTATGGCTGTGAGACCTGGCCATTCACAGTGGAAGACATGAAAAACTCGCTAGCGGCCTCTGATCATAGGTACCTGCGTTCTATCTCCCACGTGAAGTGGTCTAGTCGAGTGAGCAATATTGAGGTAAGGCATCGGTCGAGTGCTAGGTAAGGAAGGAAAATCAGTCGACGAGGCTGTGAAATTATATCGACTGAGATGGTTAGGACATGTGTTACGTATGCCTAGTCATCGCCTTCCTCGACGGGCAATGTTAGCTGATATAGGGCCAGGCTGGACAAGAGCTAGCGGCGGTCAAACCAAAACATGGCATTAGTCAGTGAAATCCACGACAGTTAGTTTAAGCTAGTCATGTAAGTAGGTGTAGACTTCCTGGTTGGGGTTCTCGAGATGGTAAGAACCAGTGACAACTGGAGACAATTAGTGATATGGTTCAAAATCGTTCTCAATGACTGGAGCAGATACATCCACTTCTTGTGACTTATAATACCCAATAAAACTATATGGCTCTTCGATATTACTATTCTTTTTGCCTCGTATCTCTGTTTACTGTCTCTATTTTGCATTTCCTCTTACTTTCTTCGCTTGCTTTGTGTGCTAAGTGAAGTATGGCGACTCGAAATGCTGCACATCAGTGCAAAGTTCTATGTTGAAACCAGTCAGTCAGGCAAGAATTCTAAGAAATTGTTTTATTTTTATTGGCAATCGGCATTCGTACAGAATATCTACACAGTGGTAATCAATTTTTGAAGTCAACCGAGTTCACCGAAAATATACTCGTGACTATGAGATTAAATTATACACACTTGAGTAGTTCACCAAAATGACAGGGTATGTTGATTGAAGGTAATCGAATAATCACTGGTCGTGAATCATACTACTACTACTATTATTTCCTAATTACACATTTTGATAATTAGAAACTCTAAACCACCTCAGAATTAGGAAAACTTATGTTATTATTTTTGAGTGGTTCAAGTTCACTGACCTTATTATATATATGCCCATGGGGTAGAATTAATGAAAGGCGAAACAAAAATTAGTAGTCAAATAAGAGTGAAATATTTCCAAAAAAAAGAAAATAATGAAGGAGAGATTAAACACTATGATACTACATCCAATTAAGATTACATATGCATAGATCTATGAAACTGCAGAAGGTTCTGAGAAATAAGACTTCTATTCTGCAAAACACAGTTGTCAGTTGCCCCACTGATGCCATCCAAGTAACTTACAGTTAGCCACATGACTCAAACCGACAATCAAGAATTACAACGATCAGTGTTAAGTGTTGGGTTGATCACTTATTTTACTTTAGTTCATCTAAATCTTACTTCCAAACAGCATGATACATCGAGAGAAAGGGAATAGGTAAATGTAAATAAAAATGAACCGACCACTCCAGATGCTCGAGACTTATAATTTCATCAACTGACTTACCTGCGTTAATTAAAACCTTCAGACCTCAAACCTCCGACCTAATCGCATACGTTATGAAATTACGGTAGGTCTCTTGAAGCCTTTCGTCCTATGAACAGTGGAAAATAACACTGTTGCAGAGTAACTTCAACATATAATGGACAATTACCCTGTAAGCAACTGTCATCTTCACCGTCTCCTTGAAGTAGGGCTCCTTAGATAATTAAAATATGCTTTTCCGTCTATCCCTTGGTTTATTCTTGAGAATTAAAATCACTTGCTAATACTTTACTAACAGTAGCAAGCTATATACATTCATAACTGGTGATGCTGGAATTCAAAACTAGTAAGGACAAATGTACAATTTCATATAGAATTCACATGTCTAAAGCTCTCATATGAAGCTAACAGTGTGACTATTAGGTGTAGAAGAATTTTATTTCTGATTAGTCATTCTATCTAGAAAAGTTAAAAGAACTATCAGTTGGAGAACCATTGGAAAACCTGGGAGTACTGGACAGCTGTTTCGTCCTAGTTTGCGACCCTCCAGCAGTACGCACCCACCGGGTTCGAACCCAGGACCTTCTGGTTACAAGGCGAGCCGTGACCAGTAGGGTACAGCAGGTTGAAAGTGAGGCAATAACTCATCGATGAAGACATTGTGAAATGGCCGCGCTATGTCGTGAACTGGCAGAATTTAGAATTCAAGGACCATTGGATCTGGTCCCAGTGGCTCAGTGGTCTACGAGCTCGCTAGCCTTGTAACCAGAAGGTCCTGGGTTCGAATCCCGGTGGGTGCGTACTGATGAAGAGTCACAAACTAGGACGAAACAGCTTTCCAGTACTCCCAGGTTTCCCAGTGGTTCTCTCACTGATGTCAGCTCATGATGAAATCCTCCATGCAATCAAACAAAATTCCCTGCAAAACCAATATCGCGAATACCACCATCAGTGGAAAGAGTTGGTAACAACCGAATAAGAGCACAGATAGACACAATAGACGAAGTGAAAGGCTTTGTGTGGAAACGGAAGTGTTGAAATAGTTTCTACTACCCGACAGTCTACTCTATATTATTTAACCTGCTTTTTGTCTCAGCACAAAAATGAGGGGATATCCCACCACCAGGTAAGTTTGAAAAGTATAGGAACTTATGCATTTTAAAAATTTTGACACTGTTTACGGACGACAGTTTAATCTTCACCTCACCAGAGTGATACTGATGATTGTTCGGAAGAGACACCTTACCACCGTGTGTGTGCTACTGACAAGATTTATCAGTAGTATATACAGAGATATTCATTGGCACAAACATATCAAACAGTGGGGAGATAGATTTCATTTCAAAAAGAGAGGAAATGAACCAGGATTGCAGCAGAACATGAGAGACTCGAAAAGACAAGGAAACACAATACTAAGGGGGGCAGAAGTAGCACACCATGGAAGATCTGTGCAAATGACGATTTTACCACAAGGTATACATGATTTCCTTATATGTGTGTCTATCAAATTGCAAATAAACATTCCGCTACCAATTCTCTTGTCTTCTCCTGTTACACTAGGATTGCTTTAGCACCATCGTTATACTGCAACTATGACGACAACCACTTTCCATACAACCTCCCTCGTATGTTACGACTTCTAGGAACAATCATTTCAGTCAGTTCAATATGCAAGTTCAGCTACCAAATTATTTTAGTGACTGTAAAGAGTAGATGGTACCAAAAAAGCTTTTTATAAAGCAAACAGTGAATGCATTCCATTCACACCATGTGAACTGAGCTATTTAAAACTTTTATTAAAATCCTAATAAATGCAAACATAGTCATCAGCTTTGCAGCTACATTTTAACTTTGGTATTTTGAAATAATTTGTCAAGGTAGCAGTCGGTTTTCGACATAGAACTTTGCACATATGTACGGCAGTTCAAGTCGCCACACTCCATGTACCACACAAAGCAAGAGAAAAAAGTAGGAGAAATGCAGATTAGAGGCAGTAAACAGAGGTGTGGGACAAAGGAACAGTAATAACGAAGAACAAAACAGTTTCATTGGAAATCATGAGTCACAAGGAGTGGATGCACCTGCGCCAGCCCTTGAGAACGATTTTGAGCCACATTACCAATTGTTTCCTGAGGATCCCAACCAGGAAGTCTACACCTTCCTACGTGACTGGCTTAAACTAACTGTTGTGGATTTTATGGGCCATGTTTTGGTTTGACCGCCACTAGCTCTTTTCCAGCCTGGCCCTATATCAGCTAACATTGCCCGTCGAGGAAGGCAATGACTAGGCATACGTAACACATGCCGATGTAATTTCACAGTCTCGTCGACTGATTTCCCCTCCTTACCTACCACCTGACCTATGCCTAACCTCAATATTGTTCAGTCGAATATACCACTTCACGCGGGAGATAGAACCCAGACACCTATGATCGAAGACAGCTAATCTTTTCATGTCTTCTGCTCTCAATGGCCAGGTCTCACAGTCAGCCATAAAGGAGGACGGAGCGGACTGTTGAGGAGTACACCCGCCCTTTGGTCGATAGTCGGATATCGCGTCTACTAAGCCAGAGACGTCGTAAACTGGCATATGCGAAACGAGCCCTCTGTATTCGTGCTGAGATAGTAGTCTATTGCATCAAAGAGACATGGTACATTAGAAGCGTTAAATCAATGTGAATTACACATTCATCCTTTTTGATGAAACTATAATTGATTGGTATCATATAAGTCAACAAGTAAGTTATAGTTGAATATGGAAAGATATTGATTCAGGAACGAATTCAAAATGATATAAAACTGAATACGAGTCAAACGTCAAAGTTCGGTAGTGATCAAACTTTCAAGTTCAAGAAGCAAACAGTTATATGATATTAGTGATACGTCTTAAGGTCGTTTTCAATACCACAGATGTATTCACTCTTTGTAATTTCCTAGATCCTTTAAATCCACAGGTTTTTCCATGTTATTATTCTTTCTGCTGCCCATTAAAAAAATCTTTTGAATCTTTTCTATCTCCTTTGTTCATCTTCGTGTTCTACATACAGTGTGGCAACTTGAACAGCTGCACTTCTGTGCAAACCTCAATTCTGAAACTCAGTTGTCAGTCAGTCAGGTTATACGACTTGAATGAGACGAATTACTGCATTAATGCAAGGAATCTTAACAATTATTTATGAGAACTGCACGCATAATTGTCCACAACACATGGGGATGTACAAAGTGCTGTGAAAAAACAAAACAAAAATACTACAGAAAGGTATCTATGCGAAATGAATATGAAGTTGCCTAAAGTTCCAATGGGAAGTCATGTCTAGTGGAGTCCGCCAAGTTACGTGTAAGGACGTTGGCTGGTGGTGGCACTATGTCGCTAATTGGCAAAAGTTAGAATTCATGTACCACTAGATTTCATCCGAGTGATCGAATGGTCTACGAGGTCTTGTAGCAACAGGAAGATCCCGGGTTCGACCACTGATCGGGTCATGGGGAACCTGCTGATTATTATTATTATTATTGTTCCCTTGGGTTCCTAGTGGAACATAGGGCTTCAACTGCACTCCTCCACTTGTTTCTGTTTTCTGCTGTACTTTTCACCTGAATCCATGTTATTCCATACTGTTTCAACTCCTCTTCACATGATCTCCTCCATGTCACCCTTGGACGTCCCACTCGCCGTTTCCCTTTCGGGTTCCACTCGAGCATTGGCCTGACGCGCCATGTCACCTAGAGGCCTCCTCAGCGAGTGTCCAATCCTGCTGACAAAGAGTCCTAAACAAGGACGAAACAGCTGCCCAGTACTCCCTCAGCTTTAACGGTTTTTTAACTTGAAATCCGTTCATGATCAGTCTCGAATAAGCATGATTTACAAGAGAAAAAATACGTGTATACAAGCAATAAAAATGAATCCACTTCTACTACTACTTACCAATATTCCATTGGCCCATATAATAAATCTCCACTGTCAGTACAACACTCATTATCAAAAAGAAGATAGTGAAAATAATCCAAAATATTTGGTTACCATACAACTAAACAGGTGATAAAAGGAAAATAAAGAACAAAAGACAAAACAATGAGTTTAGAAGAAAACCAAACACAAAAAACAATGTGTAAATAGTTATTGTATATACTTTAGTACACCAATAGAATTCATTGAGACAATAAATGAGGCAAACTTTGGCCAAAACACAATTCCACCGCATTTACAGACATCGACAAAGACTAAAGCAGATAGAGAGAGATGGCGAAACTGTCTTAATCAATATTTGTGAAAAAAAGAGTTATCAGCATCAAACTAGTATAAGTTTGTAGCATTCAGAGTTGACTGAAATTTATTCAAATGTGAAATTTGATGGTTAGGTTGTGCTTGTTAACTGGTGGATTTTTTAAAGTCAATTCATGGACAGGTGGATGGTATTCACGGGAAGTCAGCGAATACAGTGATAATGAATGCATCATATCACAAATAAGCTATTGTATTTCAAGCCAAGGATCAATGCATCTACCACATGAGCACACTAGCATGAACTTGAATCTAAGCGAAGTGAATGCATCGCGCATCGTGAAGAATCTCAATCTGGTATGAAACATGTGTATTGAAAGCTTCGTAAGCTGATATCGACTTATGCTGATAACTAGCTTGAACCAAACAGATTCTCTGCATACGCAGGCATCAAATATCAGAAACACGTTACGACGTTCATGTAATGTTGATATAAAGTTGAATTCATACATCCACTAACGGACATTAATCTACATTGTCAGTGAGAGGATAATTTGCATCTTTTTTCAATCGCCACCTACCTAAGGACGCACACACACACATGATACAATCCTGCAGATGTGCTCTAAACGACATAAAAAACTGATATTTCTTTTGACTTTAGGTAAAAATACAAACTGATTTTTTACTAAAGGCAAAGACTCAATCTGCCAACACCAGAGAAACTAATTCTTGCTTTCTTTGATTACTCTTTATGATATCAAGCAGATCACATAATGCGATGATTTGAATAATTTTCGTTTTGTAAAAGGAAACTGTAATGAAATTCCCCCCCCCCCTTGAATTAGGCAAGTCCCGAATTAATTTGCTTAGGGCGAATAAGAATACAGAACTTGAACAAAACATTTTTTCCATGGATAGCGCTTTAATTCATTTCTAGATTTACAGTATTTCAAGTATCCAGCTATTTAGTTACTCAGGTCTGCGTAACGCGGGGCAATGGCATAGGTTTTGGTAGTTGTAATAACCAATCTAGTTGTCAAAAAATATATGATTTTGTTAGTTATCCCATCAAAATGAAGAGCAATGGAAGAGGTAGTTTCATTGTTGCCGTTTCACTGCATTATTCTATACATGTTTATAGTCAATCTGCTTGAAGCACTGAATATAACTACCCTAATCCTAACCAAAAGGTGTACACATTAGATGTATGCCCTATAAATTAACTGATATTGGATATTTGGACACTACTCACATCCACTAGTAGTGTTTGCTAGCCAGACTGAAGTGATCTAAAGTACAGACAGCTGTTTCTCTCGTTTGAAACCGACAATTCATCAGTCGTCTACCCAGATACGCTCAGTTAACACAGCCGAATCAGTTACTTTATGCTGTCTAACTACTCATACCAATAATTCAGTAGTATATAGCACCACGCATGCATGTTTGCTTTCTTGATTGCCATTTATGGTAACAAGTAAACCACATATTGTGTTTCGAATAGTTTCCGTTTCCAAAGGAAACTGGAACTGTGTCAATTGTAAGTCAGAAATTTAATTAAACTTCTTACGAGTTGAACACGGATTGATATCAGTTAGAGAGGCATTGAAAACCAGCTGTTTCATCCTAGCTCTTTGAGAATCATCGGCAGTACGCACCCACCACTAGGGTTCGAACCCAGGACATTCCGGTTACAAGGCAAGCTGGCTCGTATACCATTCAGCCACTGGGACCCGATACAATAGCGAGCCCATGAATTATAACTTCTACCAATTCGTGATTTAGCGCGACCCCAACCAATGTCATTGATGGGACATCCATACTCACACGTGACATCTGGATGGACCTCACTGGTCACGACTTCTCACTAGAACTGATTCCAGGAAACTCCATTCTGTAGCAAGTCACTAGCGAGCATCAGATTAATTTTCTATAGTTTGTTTTGTAAGGGTTAGTTTTGGTTTTTACGAGTAGATCACGGATTGATATCAGTTAGAGCTTGCCTTGTAACCGGAAGGTCCTGGGTTCCAACCCCAGCGGGTGGATGCGTACTGCCGATGATTCCCAAAAAGCTAGGATGAAACAGCCTTCCAGTACTCCGTGGTATCAACGGTTCTTTAACTGATATCAATCCGTGATAAAATCGTAAAAACAAAAGTAACCCTTACAAACCAAACTGTAGAAAATTAATTAAACTTCATCAAGTCTCATTATTGGCGTCGGTGGCATAGCGGTTAGGATGCTCGCCGACCATGCATATGGTCCGGGGTTCGATCCCCGACCGACGCACTCCTTTACCTCGCCAAACCAGTAATAAAGAAAAAGCTGGTGAAGAGGAAAGGTTGGGCATGAGGCTAGCAACCCCATCCTGTAAAATAAACACTGCTACAGAAACTTCGAGCCATAAGCTTGAAGCCCTATGTTCCACTGGGAACATGAAGGAAAAAAATAAAATATAATAAAGTCTCATCATTGAAGTGAAATGCCTCAATACAACTGGTACACTAGTCGGTGCAGTTCTGAATGATGATAACCTATCCTTCAGTAGTATTTGAATGTGTATTAATTAAAGGATGGAAAATTGATATGCTAGTTATAAAGTAGTGATTTAAACTCCAGGATATATCTTTTCCCCGTCTAAATGTGTGCGCCCTTAAAAACTGCTTCCTACTTACAATCTGAGACGATAAGCTGCAACCTTAATACACGCGTTTATTGTGCATATTCTGATAAAAACGAATAGATTCAAGGTTATCAAAAATCGATATTGATGCTGTATTTATTATTTATGAAACTCAACAAAACACTGGCATAAACAAATAACACAATTAACGAAATGATGACTTGTGTTAGACGAACGTGAATTTTCGTCGCGAGCTATAGTGTTTGTTTTCGCACAAGTCGGCTCAGATAAACAAAAACAACTCCCTTTAACAAAACAAGATGCCTGCAAACATGTGAAAATTTAAAAAAAATAAAAATAAAATAACCGGCCTTTACTTCGTACTGATGATATCCAGCATTTTGAAAACAACATAGATTTAGCTCGATCGATATCTCATATAAGCTCGACGGATTAAAAAGTCTAATGTGATCATAAATATTTTCTTTTTAATTTGATTTTTTGTCAGTATAGTATGAGGCTGGTAGGTGCAACGCCCACTCAACCATAGAGATAAGTTGTATGTGTGTGTGTGTAGTTCATTGAACTATACGAACGACCTTCAACTAATACAATGTAAGATTTCATTCTTATGTTATACACCAGGCCCTTGGAAGTGCAACAGTATAAAATATTCTCGGCTATCTACACACCAAAAAAACTAAACACACATGTAGAAACAGAAAGATTGAGCGAAGAAATATGTTACTTTCCAATTAGATGCTCATCTCTGGCTCTACTCTAATATTTATAGCATTTTTATTACAATGTTAGCCGATTTTTTCCTCGCTAAGTTAGAGAGTGGACCACTGAAAGGAGTAATTAATGACATGGATTTCTACTGTCGATATATGGATGATACATTTCTGGTTATGAAAGATGAGAATGATGCACATTCAGCAATAAACTTTACCACGGAGAAAGAAAGTAATGACAGTATATCATTCATTCCTAGACGTCTTCATGGCAAGGAAAGAAGATGGCACACTAAGAAGGAGTGTGTATAGGAAACCTACAACAACAGGTCAGTACACTCATTTTTTGAGTTTTGTACCTTTGAAATATAAACGTAACCTGGTAAAGTGTCTGGTTCATAGAGCCAGGCTAATCTGTTCAGACGATTGCCTCAATGAGGAGCTTAAGATTATTAGAGAATCACTTAGAAAAAAATGGTTATCCAGATAAATTCATTGAGAAAAATATGAATTCAGCACCAAGGAGAGTCAGTATGGCTACAGTTACGAAAAAACCAATGTTCATAAAATTGCAGTTCCTCGGTGACAACATCAGCGAAATAATAACACAGCACCTGAAGAATGCAGTTAAAAGAGCTTATTATGTAGCAGAGGTACGTTGTCTCTTCACAACCACCCCTATTCTATGTTCGGGAAATAAGTATAAACTAACTAAATTTGCCTCTTCTATGTGTATCTACCAGTGTGACTGCAGCTGCAGAGCCAGCTACATTGGGCGTAAAATTAGGCAGGTTCATCTTCGTATTTCCGAACATCATCCAACATGGTTAAGCAAGGGAGAAACAAGATCTATTCGTAGTTCTATTTTAGCACACCTTGTAGATAGTGAGCATAAGGTTGATGTTAATACAGCATTTAAAATTATCTATCGCATTCCTACTAATCTTAATTTTGCTCTACGAGTTCGTCTTCTACAGACAGCTGAAGCAATAGGAATCCACCTGAAGAAGCCAAACCTGTGTGTTCAGAAGAAATTTGTACAGTCACTTTCCTTGCCTTGGCCATCGTTACATGACTGTATAAACCGGACTACTTCGCCTCCCTCCCCCTAAACCTTTAAAATTATAAAAATTATAATTGTCCAAATTATTTTATTTTTATTTATTTTGACCACTTCATCTTTAATTACGTGTTATCCTTGTAAAATTAATTTATTCTAACCATTTCTACCTTTTAAATGTGTATTGATTTTCTTCGTTAATTATTAACCCATTGACATTTTGACACTGACTAATTATTGTTAACAAACATATCACCACTTGTTTGGTAAATTGTTGTGTATTGTAATAAAAATGCTATGTATATTAGAGTAGAGCCAGAGATGAGGATCTAATTGAAAAGTAAATATTTTTTCGCTCAATCTTTCTGTTTTCTAAATGTCTAAATGGGGATTTTTTCTATATCAAACACACATGCTCTTTGAGTTATATATAAACCTTGTATATTATTCCCAAAACTACTCATAAACAGTCTAATTCAGTAAAATTGTCATATGCACTGCGAAGAAAAAAGTTTAGAAAATTTTTAAAAAAAGACAATAACTTACAACACCCAGAACACCAAGAAAAATAACGACAGCCATAACCATATAGGCTGAATGAGCTGATGCATTTACGTCTGGATGCCTTGTTTGATAAATTTTCAGCATAATTAACATAGCAAGTATATACATATAGGCGGTATCTGAGAGAAGAAAAACATTTCACATGATATTAAAAAGTATTCAGTAAAAATATTTTCAGATAGCAAATAATGACGGAAAGGCACACACATACACAAACCTAAGCAATAAAACAGTAAAAAATCAGTTAAGAATATGAAATAAAAAGAGAGCGAATTTTAAAGCCTTAACTAGACTCAGTTTAGAGTCACATTTTACACATAACCTAGAAATTGTGGTCAGGTCACAGGCTGACTATGCCAACGACTGGTTAAACCTTTGTTTTTACTTTGATTAGACACTAGTAACTAGTGTGACGTGTTTAGTCCTTTCTTTGGTGCAGACTGAATTATATCAGTCAGGTTTGTAATGTGGCCACCATTCTAGGTAGCTCACCATCACGGTGCACATTGCTTTGATGATATTAGATAGTTGGAGGCAATCGGACTCAGGAAGCCTTGGAACTAGGTTTCGTGTTAGTTGGCACTCATAAGCAAGGCGTATCTGCAACCTTGAAGGAACTCATGTCCCTTCTGAGATTCGAACCCGCGTCACCCAGTGCTGCGGTCAGAGACGTTACCACTGAGCTATTCAGGCTCGCGATTGACCTTCTGTAGGACTGTAGTGGGTATTTTGATCAAAAACACTAGTCACTAGTGTGACGTGTCTAGTCCTTTCTTTGGTGCAAACTGCTGCTGCTTTTACTCTTCCTGAAAACATTCACGTTGGATAGAGAAGAAACACGAAGCTGAATTTCACAGGGGAGATATTTCAAGGTGTAACGAGAAATTCTAAGGTGTAGCTGAAAAAGAAATTCATGCGGGTAAATAATAACTTCATTTCAGAAAACATTACACCATGCTTGAACATCCTAATTCTAACTTATAGACAGGCTGTGTGTTTGTTTCCATGACGTAATAAATGAGACGATTAGAAGCTTCAATACATATTGAACACTATCAAAATAAAGCCTTATTATTAGTAGAGAGTAATTACTCATTTAGATTCATCTATACATTGGTGATATGGCTCAGAACGGTTTATAATGGGTGTAGATGTATTCAGCCTTTGTGATCTATTATATCCACTAAACCTTGATGTTATTCTATGTTACTATTCTTTCTCCCGTGCATTTCTGCTTATGGCAGTTCTTTTGAATCTCTGTTCCCTCTACCTGGAATGGAATTTGGCAACTTGAACAGCTGTATTTCTGTTGGAATTTTTGTGTTGAAGCTCAGTCAGTCAGGAATTCATCAACAGATGAAGGTGTGACAGAAAATGTCGTCATACAAACACATTCCTTGTTTATTTTGTCAAAGCAAGTGGAACAAGAATCGAAGGATGAAGCAAACAGCATTAAAATCAGCGACATACTTTGATCTTATGACTGAATAACTATTTACAGTAGGAGGATTAGATGTGACAAAGACAGTACCATGCATCTGCCCATATAACAACACACAAGTAAATTGTGAATTTTTCATTGCGGTTGAAACATATAAAACATATATAACGGAGGAAAACGAGGAGTGGAATGACTATATATATGTGTCGAAATTGGAGTCAACGAACAAAACGACTGGTTGAAGGTTTTGCACGTATTTATTATTATTATTTCCTTTAATTCCTAGAGGAACATAAGGCTTCAGCGGCGCGTCTCCATTGCGTTCGGTTCTCTGCTACAGTCTTCACCTGGCTCCAAGTCTGCCCACACGCTTTCATCTCCTCTTCACATGACCTCCTCCAAGTCACCCTTGGAGGACCAACTCGCCTCTTTCCATTTGGGTTCCACTTGAAGGGTTGTCTAGTGATGTCACTTGATGGTTTCCTCAGAGTATGGCCAACCAATCCATCTCCATTTCTTCCTGCATATTTGTTTCACAATCGGTTCCCGGTTGGTTTGCTCCCAAAGATCCCTATTGCTGATCTTTAGGGACTTTGCACTTATAGATCCAACAAAACGAAACAAAGTCGAATACTTTTGGCGCATTAAACTTTTTTAAGCCACAGGTACTTCCTATAAAGTATTCAGAATTAATTAGTCAGAGTGTGAGTATGTGAATGCCTACAAACCACTTAACCTAAGGCTCATTGGAACAGAGGCGAACAGAAGCTTACTACTTTTGTATTGGCAGTTACATGTGAATTTGTAAGGATGATCGGAACAAGCGACGAACCGGTACTTACTGATCTTCTTGTGCAATGTGGCTGAAAAGTCCTATAGTCCTATACCTATAGTCGAAAGGTATGGGGAAACTCTTTACTTCTGCATCGTCCTTTCTAAAGTTTTAAGCTAGACGTATCAGAACAGTTGACTATATTTTCCACAGTACATGCTCTTATGTAATTCCTGACAAATTGAATACTTAGGTGTGTATTGCTATACTTAGGAAATGGCTTCAACATCTGATCCACTGATTATAAACATCTTGTCCACACATTTTACGAAAGCGTACGACCGACTTTTGTTTCAATTTTTAGGAGAAAATAAGGGGTATTACTGGTTTAAACGGACCTTATTATTATTATTATTATCGAAAACCGATTGCTAGCTGAAGCTATTAACTTCTATTGTAAACATTGAGTTATGGATATTATTTTACTTTTTGAGCTGAATGACTTCAGTGAGAAGATTCCATTGTCCTTCTAGACAACATCTTCATTGCTAGTCTCAGCGTGAAGCGGGCCGTTGGAAGCTCCTTATAGATAAAATATCAGTATATTTTTAGTAAACCTGACTGTGACTGGTTCTGTTCGGAGATTTTCTTATGACTTCTCTTTTTCACGACAAGAAACTATGTTAACCAAAGCTGTTGTACTCTTCGTCTCCAAATCTATGAGCACAAACTAGCAATTATGTTATACATTCGTATGAATATAGACTTAACTGCGATGATGTAAAAATGTAAGAGACAGAAGAAACTCAAAGAACGCTAAAGAATTTCTAGAAGCATGTTATCAGATTAATTTGCAGCTAACAAACGTGTTGACACAGACCAAACTCATCAATCGATAGAGAAGTCACAAATTAGTTGGAACCCAACTACCCGGTATCAGGCTGAGTCATACTTATCGTGCAAGCGCCTATGATGCTATCCAGTTGCTCAGGATGAGTGGAGCGGGATTCGAACCCGTGTCCTGTTGGTTGGAAGCCGAATGCTTAAGCCATTAAGGCACATCTCCATGAAGTCACATGACCAAAAGACTACACATCAGGCAAACGAAAGGACGAAAATCAATACAAGCGAATATATTTACGAGAGGATTTCAGGGAAGAACTAATCACAGTGAGGAATACAATGAAAGACATATATTTAATCCATGGGGAATTCCTGTAGCTCACTTCACATTGTGTGTAACAGTGAAGATGTCTGGCAAGATAATGAGATATTCGAAATGAAACCATCCAGTTCAGATAACACAACTAAATCAAAAACATCCATACTGGCTACAAATCTTCTCCACTAGTTCGACATCGAATTATGTGCATACATGATGAAATTATGCAGGAAGTCAAATATTATTGTCATCATTTATCAATAATATTATTCTGATACTTCTTTGAAAGAAATTATGGTTGTTTCAGCCGAAGGCATTAAATGTGATCCAGCATAAGTTAAGGAAGTTAAAGACTGGCCGCTCCAAAACTCAGCCCCCAAGTTACATAATTGTTTGGAGGTTAGCCTCGTATTATAGACGTTGTGCACTTAACGTTTCTTTACTTGCAGCTCCTCTCTTCGACATTCTTAAGCAGAAGGATTACAGTTGGACAGCATTAGCTACTGGAGCCTTCGAAAGACTTAAAGATTCTTTATATAGCCCTCGTATCCTAGAATATCATAACGTGTCTGACCAAGCAGGTCCGTTCACCCTAGAAAAAAGACGCTAGCAACACTGGCATAGGGGCTGTTTTGTTTAAAAAAGAAGCAGGTGCAGCAGAAAAGATGAATGGCCGATGCAAGTTGAGCACTCAACAAGACTGAAAAGAACCACTACTGCACCATGTGGAAAGAAATGCTGACACTGGTCAACTTCGTTAAACACTTTAGAGCATATCTCCTTGGTAGACACTTCGTAGTACGAACTGATCACAAAGCCCTTAGCTGGCTACATAACTTCAAAGAAGTCAAGGGGCAGATTGCTAGATGGCAAGAACGCCTGTAAGAGTATGACATTGAATGCAAGCATGGACCTAGAAAAAAGTCATGGGAATGAAGATGCATTGTCAAGAAAACCTCCTAGGTATCATGGTGACTGCCCATCATGCACGGAAGCACAAGTTTCCGTGCTCCAATTAGAGGCGATTAATTCATAGAGTTGGCCCGGATTTCAGCCTTCAGACCCTGAACTGGCCTTCATAAACGAACGTGTTCGAAGTGGAGGCGAACGACCGACAGTGCAGGATATAAATAAGCTGGGATGGGAAACTCGGTGTTTGTGATCTCTGTGGGACAATTTGAAAATTATCGATAACATCATTTACTACTAACATGGACCCACTTATACGTTTTACAGCAATACTGGATAACTTACCAAACTGAAAATTTGAAAAATTTGGGCACATATGATAGCAGGCGCTCATCAGTCCTTCCATAGTCAATGCTAAGCCCATCGCATAGAACAGTCCATAGTGTTGTGGAATACCTAATACCTAAAAATGTGGTTTTTTTAGTTAAAAATCAATTATTAAATTAGGCAATCAAAATAAGATATACGATAAATTTAGGTAGTTAATTAGAATAAATATAAGTAATATTTGAAATAATCAATATCATCAGAAGTTAGTGAAGAATCAGCAGACTCATCAGTTAATCAGCAGGAAACTTTAATTTATCTAGGGATTAGACATGTTGACACTTATTAGCAGGGTATATTTGCTACACACATCTAAGGAAGTCGAACGTGTGCTTATCAGAGTCAAATATGAACTGTTTATTTCCTTATGAAAAACACAAACTGCCTATAATGTAGACATCAAGAGATATGCCACATATAGATATATACACAAGGTTAAAACAACAATATTAGAGGAGGAGAAAAAGGTTGGGGAACATCATATTGACTTATCAAGTACGTTTGGCAGAGGGTTCATTATTGCAAATTATTTTCAGAAATAAAAGAAAGAAGGAAGATACAGAATGTCCGCCACTAATAGCGACTCTCAGCCATTTGTGATAAAATTTCGACGTAATGAGTCAAATGATCCCTTGAACCCCAACCTACTGAGTTACAATGCACACCAACGCATGCTAATCCAAAAAAAATATCGTTCATTGAGGTGATCGCCTCTTCACTAGTTTCACGGCTACCAAACGGCAAACTGTATGAAAGTGGCTGGTATAGCACTGCAGGCGGTGTCTCAAGGTAACACCACTCATAGAAGGACAATATCCATGGCTTACATGGTGAAGGTATTCTATGGAGGCAGCAATGATCGAACATGCAGAGTTGATGTACATCCTCAGCTCAAAGCGACAGAATTCACAGACATACAGTAAGACCTGCTGAGGTCTTGCTATCCCCATTTCTATTCAATTTCATCATAGACGTACTAGTGGACTTAACCCTATCTCACTTCAGAGGACTCATGGATTGACTTGCTACCAGTGAATAATCTCGCTGACTTGGAATATCCAGATGATACAGTTCCCACTCCTACGTGAAGACGCTGACAAAATGCAGAGTCTTCTGAACACCTTAAGCTGCAATCTACGAATGTTTGGAATGCAATTAGCTCCCGTCAAATGTAAGATGATGTGACAGGACTGGACTACACTGACTCCTAGCTTAGAAACAGTGGGTGAAGCGGGTAGAGCACGTTGACCGCTTCACTTATTTAGGAAGTTGCATCAGCCAGTGCCAACGGGTTGATCGCTGACGAAAACTCAGCACGGATACAGAAGGCTAGTTTCGCATGTGCCAGTTTACACCATCTCTGGCGCAGATATGATATCCGGCTATCGACCAAAGGGCGGGTGTACTGCTCAGCAGTCCGCTCCGTCCTCCTTTATGGCTGGCTGTGAGACATGGCCATTGAAAGTGGAAGACATAAAAAGACTAGCTGCCTTTAATCATAGGTGCCTGCGTTCTATCTCCCGTGTGAAGTGGTATAATAAGGTGAGCAATATTGTGGTTAGGCATAGGTCGAGTGCTAGGTAAGGAGGGGAAATCAATCGAAGTTACATTAGTTGATATGGTTAGGATATGTGTTACGCATGCATGTCTAATCACCGCCTTCCTCGACGGGCAATGTTAGCTGACATAATATCAGGTTGGAAACGAGCCAGTGGTGGTCAAACCAAAATATGGCTTCATCGATCAATGAAATCCACAACAGTTAGTTTAAGACAGTCACTTAGGAAGGTGTAGACTTCCTGGTTGGGGTCCAAGGGACGGTAAAGACCAGTGGTTGGAGACAATTGGTAATATGGCTCAAAATCGTTCTGAATGGCTGGCGCAGATGCATCCACTCTTTGTTACTTATAATATCCAACAAAACTATATTGTTCTGAGATATTACTATTATTTTGCCTCTGCTGCACATCGGTGCAAAGTGCTATGTTGAGACCAGTCAGTCAGTCACAGTAAGACCGCATACAATTAAACATTATTAAACTTGGACTTGACAGTGAGACTAATATTACTATGACTCCATAGATCAATGTCAAGAAATACGACGACTGCTGGCCTGCAATAGATGTGATGATGGCCTAATAACTGACAAAGAAATATCTTCACTCTTAACTAAAAGATGTAGACAAACTGTTGGTTTAGTATAGCTAAAAGGAAGATCTATCGCCTGACAGAAGCACCTATAAATACAGAGTGTCTAGTCATATCACAAGGGACATCTTAAAAGACAATTCATTGGATAAATAATCGATAACACGGAAGAGGTCAGTGTGCTCACCTGAGAATTAGGATTCAAATTCTTTGTTCGTCTGTGAATGATATCACTGAATGGTAAAAAAAACAAGATTATCTATACGAAATGCGATGTTAATATTATTAATATGAGACCATGAAAAGGCCAACTACTATAGTTGCAAAGAGCAACCTGTAATGTTGACATCAACAAACAATAAAAGTAAACAAATATAATCGACCTTAATTTATTCAGTTTGAGTAAATAGCGCATATTGCATTAAAAAAACTAATTGTTGACATTTGATGCTCTGATTAGTTAAAGTTAATTTCATTTCTAAAGTATAATTTTAAGTATAAATCAAAAGGCTGCCTACTATCGCCAATGATTTTCCCGATTGCAGTAGATTGGATAATGCGACAAACAGTGGGCAATGAGGAAACAGGCATAAAATAGACCCACACAAGACACTTGGAGGATCTCGACTTCGCTGATGATATATGTCTGATTTCCCACAAACTGGAAAATATGCAAGTGAAAAGCTACAAGTTGGCACAAGAAGCATCAAAGATAGGAAGGACTTCAGGAGAACATAGAGAAAACAGAGGTGATGAAGAATCCTGGACAAGAACAACAACAACAGACAACAATCAGCATAAATGGGAGGAACCTGAAAGAAACAACCTCTTTTACCACCTAACTGGGAAGCATCGTTTCAACTACAGCTGCACGGAACTGACGAGGATATCAAAGCAAGGATCGGAAAAGCAAGACAAGCTTTCACTACTCTCAAGTCTATATGGAGGTCAACAACACTCAGCATCAAAAATAAGATCCAAATTTTCAACTCCAGTGTGAAGTCAGTGCTACTATACGGATCAGAGACTTGGCCAGCGCGTCATAAAGAACACCTCAAACAAACTACAGACCTTCATTAACAGTTGTCTTCGCTCAAGACTCAAGATCAGATGGCTGGGCAGAAAAGATCAGCAATAGTAAGGGATCTCTGTGAGCGAACCAACCAGGAACCGATTGTGAAACAAATAGGCAGGAAGAAGTGGAGATGGATTGGCCACAATCTTAGGAAACCAGCAAGTGACATCACTAGACAAGCCATTGCTCGAGTGGAACCCGAAAGTGAAGCGACGAGTTGGTCGTCAGTGCAAGGGTGACCTGGAGGAGATCATGTGAAGAAGAATTGAAAGCGTATGGGCAGACTTGGAGCCAGGTGAAAACTCTAGCAGAGAACCGAACGCAATGGAGACGCACGGCTGAAGCCCTATGTTCCTCTAGGAATTAAAGGAAACTATAATAGTAATAATAATAATTATTATTATATAAATCACGAACAAAACTGGACAACAGAAGACTACTGATTCTTCTGAAAAATCAGGCGGAACTCCAAATACGCGTTTGTCTGTCAACAAATAAGGTTATAGACAAGAAGAGTTATTTGTATATTCTTGAATCCCGTGTAGAATATAGTGCCTCAGCAACATATCGCTATTAGATCCTGTTTTCTGCAGTCTTTTCAGCTGGCTCCACGACTAACCATAGGCTTTCAAATCTTCCTCAGTCGATTTCCTTCATGTCACCATCGGACCAGCACCCAACTTGGCATTTCCCATTCGAGTTCCACTCGACAGCCTGTGGCGTGATGTCAGTTAACGGGCGATAGGTTCTTGGTAAGTTCAATGGCAACATTTTCTGTTGTTTGTCTTTCCTGGCAGACTGTCTGATATTCACTATCTAGCTGGAGAAGGCAGCTGTTGATGAAAGCCTGCAGCAGGCTATTCAAAATACTTGTGGTGGTGCGAATGCCATGTCTGTGAATGCTATACAAGTAATGACTTGACATAAGTTTTGAAGTTCCAAATCTTGTACTTTATGGTGATTACAGTAGATTTCCACAGTGATTTCAGGGTAACCAACGCCTGTCTTGCCTTTCCGATTGTGGTGGATATGGCATCCTTATCTGTAACGTCTGTAGTCGAGATAACGGTGTCTAGATAATTGAAAGATTTAACTTCCTTCAGATTTCTCCCCTTGATAATGATTGATGTTTGTTGATGTTGATAAAGTATCCTCATGAACCGTCTTCCCTAAGTCAAATCAAAGTCCAGTTTTCGCTGCCTATTCTGAAAATTTACTGGTTTTCTCCTGTACATCTTCCACGTTGTGCAACACGAGACATAAATCATCCATGATGTTCAGGTCTTTTTGTCAGTCTAATGTATATCCCTCATCCCACTCCTTAAAATCCGGCGCATTATCCAGTCAACCTCCATCAGGAAGACCATCGGTGGTAGTGTAACTACAGAAGACGAGGGCCAGGCAACAGATCGTTTATTGAGAAAATCAAGAGATATTTATAGATTTTTATTGTGTTTATTACTGTTAGAGAGAAGCAACCTCTTCTGATTGGTTGTTTTCTTGCTGAAGGTTATTTTGTTATTTTTTATGGCCGTTTCCCAGAAAACCAAGTCATATATCTGCGAATCATATTTCCACACACTAACTCCACTGTGATTGGCTGGTTATTTCCGCAAGGTTAAGCTTTGTTATTGTTTTTCTCATGACTCTGATTCGGGATGTGGATTGACGCAAACTGTTGTCTACAATTTTGGCTTGCGGCCAGCTCTCACCACAGTAGTAAACCGCCTTGTCTTACTCCTGTTTTCATTTCAGAGGCTTCGTTGACTTTTTCGTTGTGGATCACTTGACATGTCGCACTGTCATGTAGCTGTTGAATCAAGTTGATGAAGGTTTGAAGCAATTCGTAGTGCTGAGGCAATTTTCAAATTACGAGACTAAACCATTCAGTCTCCGGTCGATGACCATTCGACTAACATCCATAGGTTGGTAAGAATTCACCAGTAGGTGGTCCCACACTAACCCCGAAAGGTCTCTCTTTCATGTTATCCTCAAATGCATTTACCAATTTACATGTAGGCGCTAAATCACATAGAATAATCGAGCAAAGAGAAGAAGGATTTGTGGCCTTTATCTTCAAGTTGGCTAACCAAAGTTTGTGAATATTTTGCAAATTTTTCAACAAAATGGTTTAGAGTTTGTACAGCCGAAAAGCATCAACAGAATAAAGTAGTATCACATCCTTTCCAATTTACTGTTTCGCCTTACTGGACTCTATCATCCCATAAACCTCTTTCCTTTAATACTAGTGCTTCTTATCGTGGTACCATGCGAAGTATCACAGCTCCAACTGACGCACTTCTGTGAGTTCAGTTTTTGAAAGCCTCATGGCTGGTAAGCCGTTTTACAGAGTAATTTTATGGTGGTTTGATTTAAGGCAGGAAACGGGGTTATACATACTCTGAAAAAACCCAAGTAATGTCACTATATTAAGCATGTTGATTGCGACAAATACACTGCATCCTATTTCTGATTGATAAGTAACCTAACCAGCCGAACTGCTTAGTGTACAAGCAAACCAAATAATAGTAAGAGTAGATATATGGATACAGAGTCAATTTGACACAAATAAAAATTTCTGAGCACTCGTTAGACACCACCGAAAATACCCATTGAGTTGTGAAAAAAAATAAAAGACAGTTCAGCGAAGAAATTTAGTCGATAAATAAGATTTTCCTCGCTGAATTGCCTTTCTTATATTCTTTATCACTCGTTAGATGTCAAATCCTCATTTTAATGTGAGTAACAACTCCAAAATAGTAAAATCAGGAACTCATTAATCATCATTCTTTGTGCATATAAGTGGAATTAACAAATGCATTTTTGACTGCATGGAGGATTTCATCATGAGCTGACATCAGTTAGAGAACCATTGGAAAACCTGCAGGGAGTACTGGACAGCTGTTTCATCCTAGTTTGGGACTATTTGCCAGTACTCAATCACCGGGTTTCGAACCCAGGACCTTCTGGTTACAAGGCGAGCTCGTAGACCATTGAGCCACTGGGACCCGATCCATTGATCTTTGAATTCTAACTTCATGCAATCAAACAAAATCCCTACCAAACCAATCCTTGAAAATTAATCTGATGCTCACTAGAGACTGGCCCTATTCAGGCAGTTAACCTGGGATTCTAGTGGGAAGCTGTGACCAGTAGGGTACAGCAGGTTGAAGCTGAGGCAGTAACTCATCGAAGAAGACATTGCGAAATGGTCGCGCTATGTCGTGAATTGGCAGAAGTTAGAATTCAAGGACCATTGGATCGGGTCCCAGTGGCTCAATGGTCTACGAGCTCGCCTTGTAACCAGAAGGTCCTGGGTTCGAAACCCGGTGGTCGAGTACTGGCAAATAGTCCCAAACTAGGATGGAACAGCTGTCCAGTACTCCCTGCAGGTTTTCCAGTGGTTCTATAACTGATGTCAGCTCATGATGAAATCGTCCATGCAACCACACAAAATCCTCACAAAACCAATACTTGAAAATGTATTTTTATCTAAAGCTGAGCAAAAGTGTTCGATACTATATAAGAGTTTAATCATGATATATCCATTAAATGTCAAATTTTCACAGATAAAAACCGAATGTCTCAACTATTTTATTAATTATTACAGAGTTGTCGTATATATAGGGTCTCATACAAAAAGACACAGATTATCTCTATCACCCTCTCAACTAGTAAACTTACCGTCGTGCAGTAAGGCCTAGAAATAATAATCCTAACATGACATAACCAATATTTGAAATGATGTTATTGAAAGCTGTGAAGATACCAAGTGGACGAGCACACTCAAAATTGTAATAACACAAATCTTCATTGCCAGTCTCAAAAACAGCCTAGAGTAAAAATAAAATTAGAAACAAGGAAACTGTAAACACGATATCAGGAAAAATGTATTACAAAAAAAACCATCCAACGTTTTAAGATGCCCTGAAACACCACTTCTCATTCATACTAATTTTTAAATATAGAATAAACAACAGAGCATGAAGGCCCAAATTGTAACTTTTAGCCCGCTCCTTCTAAAACGAATAGGAAAATGCTCATGGTTGAACAGCATTTTAATATGAATAAATATTTGTCAAGATTGATGCCGAACTGATCACTGCTAGAGAAGCACTGACGACCACAGGGTAATGGTTATCTGCTTCGTTCTTCTTTGAGACTCTTTAACAGTCCGCACCCCCATCAAGGATCGGACCAAGAACCCTCAGTTTACAAGGCGGGCTCGTAGACCATTCAGTCACTGGGACGGAATCCAGTGACCCATCAGTTCTAACTTCTACAAATTCGCGGTATACAGCGCGACAAACCAGCCAGTGTCATCGGCAAGTACCTGTCGTCATACCCTACTTAGTGGACCCCACTGATTAGCATCGATGGACCATTGCGTACCATCACACTGGATAAATGGTCAACTAACTCGCCTCGTAACCCGATCAGTCCCAAACAAAAATAAAAAACTGTCTACTACATTCTGGCTCTCAATGGATCTCTAACTGAACTCAATTCCTCATCAATCTTGAAATCGATCGAATCCCTGCAAAAAAAACACTTGAAAATATTTGTCAGGCGTGAAGTATATATATATATATCAGCTGGCTTGGAGTAACAAGTTCAAACATGACTCTTGGAATGTGTATTCTGACTACTGACTATTCTGACATTCTCTATGGCTCTGAAACATGGCCAACACGAGTTGAAGACATAAAAAGGTTGACTGTTTTGATCGTAGATGTCAACGATCTCTTTCTCACGTCAGGTGGTATAATAAGGTAAGTAACGTTGACGTTAAGCGTAGAGTGTTGGGCAAAGAGGGAAAATCAATCGAAGAGGCTATAAAGTTACATAGATTGAGATGGCTGGGTCACGTGCTGTGCATGCCTAACCATTGCCTCCCCCCGACCGGCATTACTAGCTGATATGGGTGCAGGTTGGAAAAGAGTAGGTTGTGGCCAAACAAAAACATGGCCTCATCAATCCATGAAATCCTTGACAGTTAAACTGAGTCAGGTAGGGAGATGCAAACTTCCAGGTTGGGGCCCGCCCTCGGAACTCTAAGAATCAATGGCTGGAGACCATAGCTGACATGGCTCAAAATCGTTGTCAATGGCTTACGCAGATGTATTCAGTCTCTGTAATCTTTCATATTCCTTTCTACCATTACTCATTCTGTTTCACTCTTATACTTGTCAAAACTCTATTGATTCTCTTCACTCATTTTCTTGTCTACCTTTGTGTGCTACTTGGAACGTGGCAACTCGAACTGCTGCACTTCGGCGCCAAGTTCTATGTTGAATCCAGACAGAGACAGACTACTGATAGCAAACATTTCGAATGGATATAAGCTGTTACCTTCATTACAAATTCAACCAAGAAAACAATTCTCATTTGATAAATATTTCCTCTGTCGTGTAAGTACTCATTGTCTGACAAAATATAACTTGCTTAAAGTTTATCTAATTTTTAACATATGTACTAAGGGATAAATTAGAGCAGTTGACAGTAGTTACTAGTAAACAAACGCTTCCGTCAATGTTTACGTATACATTTTTAGATTTTCTTGATTTTTGAAGTGAACTTTCTCACATTTCATACTACACATGTTGAACTTAGAGGACATTTTGCAATCGCTTAACATTTCCGAAGGAAAGAAAAAACAATTAACTAAGCATACTAAAACAGTTGGAAAATTGATATTGTAAAGCAGTAAGCGAGCACTAATCACAATAAAGGTCACCTTTAATAATTAAATTTATTTGCAGTTAAAAAAAACGAAGGATCAAATAGAAATATGAACCATGAATGTAAAGTTCTGCATCGATAATTCAGTCAGTCAGAGCCACAACTCCATAACATAGGAAAATACACTTCGCCTCAGAACTCAAAATTACCATTTCCAACAAACATTATTTGGGTACTAATTTATGGGGATTTTATTGATTGGTTAGAGGATTCAACCATAGGCTGACATTGGTTAGAGAACCATTGGAAAACTAGAAGTACAGGACGGTCGTTTCGTTCTAGTTTGGGACTCTTCATCTCAACGCATCCACTGGGGTTCGAACCCAGGACTTTCTGGTTACAAGGTGAGCTCGTAGACCATTAAGCAACCGGGACCCCATCCAACGGCCTACGAATTACAACTTCTGCCAATTCACGACATAACGCGACCACCAGCCAATATCTTCGGCGAGTGTTTGTCCTCACGCCCGACCCACTATACCCTACTGGTCACGACATTGGCTAGTGGTCACGCCATGTCGTGAATTGGCAGAAGTTGGAATCCATGGACCATTGGACTGGATTCCAGTGGCTTAATAGTCTACGAGCTCACCTTGTAACCAGAAGGTCCTGGGTTCGAAATCTCGTGGTGGGTGCGTACTGATGAAGCGTCCCAAATTAGGACGAGACAACTGTCTAGTACTCCCAAGTTTCCCAGTAGTTCTCTAATCGATGTCAACTCATGATGAAATCCTGTAACCGAAAATTATTTGACAAGCAGTAACGTTGAGCATAATAAAGATATAAGTGAAATATATATATATATGCAGTTCGCTAAAAGTCAAAAAAACATCTGGTCCTTAGTCCTAGTCTCTTGAAAGTATAGATTTAGAGTGAGTGTAGTGTTAGGCTAAAGTAAGTCCTGACCGATGCAGTATTAATAGAATTCATATTATGAACACATAAACTGAATTCATTTAAATGATTCAGCAAACCTGGATTGCTCTTGCTGACTTAACAACAACAACAATATGGACTCCGTGTTTCTGTGTCACAACTGCAAATATACCGCTAGTAATTTCCAAGCACAAACTTGCAGTAACTACACTGCGGTTGCACCTCTTTATTCTAATTCTCAACCCAGAAACGATAAAATATCTCGAATTATATTTGACAACTCTTTCATTAAAATATATTGAATGAAACGCATTCATAACCTGTGCTATGTAATGAATTCACTTTCAGGAGTCACACGACAACCTTCTCTCTATCTCGACTAACAAGAATTACAAATTTTAACATTATCTAATAAACACATAAATATTTTCATACAATATTTAGAATCAGTATACGCTTTTGTGAAAAATAGTACTGGAATCTGATTATGGATTCAATTGAAAATGTCAACCTCGTAAACAAAAAGATGGTCTCCCTAGACGTCGTCTCTCTGTTCACCGATGTTCCACTGACAGAAACTATATGCTTTCTGTGTGACTTCATCCAATGCAACAGCATAGATGTCGGCATACCGATCCATTATCTATAGGAGCTGTTACTACGTTGCACTTTCAACGTCTACTTCAGATTCAACGATGAAATCTACAAGCGAACAGATGGCGTAGCAATGGGCTCTCCACTCGGACCACTTCTAGCCGACTGTTTTATGACCAACCTCGAAAACAACTCCTTATCATCAACTATCAATGACCTTCATCTCTACAAGAGATACATTGGTGATACTTTCATCATTTGTGATCAGAACCTGGACCTTGAAAACTTACTTCAAATCTTTAACAAAGCCCACCCAAACATCGATTTTACACTTGAGACTGAATCAGACGGGATGTTCCACTTCCTCGACGTCCATCTGACAAGAAACGACAACAACTCTTTGAAAAGGTCTATATACAAAAAGCCTACATGGAATGGACAATTCATCAACTTTCAAAGTTTCGTGCCCCTAAGCAGAAAGAGGAACCTGATATACACTCTTTCCTAGAGGATTCGGAAGATATGCAGCGAGGAGCTGATTGATGAAGAACTGAGTAATCTCCGAAAAACCCTGATGGAAAACGGTTTCCCGCCCAGGTTCATAGACAAGAATCTCACATCTAAGAAGACTTCCGAACAAGTCCAATCCGTTCCAAAGAAAATACTTCTGCTTAATCTAGAATTCAAAGGTGATATTGAAGCAGAAATCCTTCGCAAACGCCTCTCCAAATCGCTGAGGAAAACATACTTCGCCGCGAGCCTACGACTGACGTCTTCCTGCAAGAAACTGTTCAACCAGAACGCGAAAGACAAGTTGTCGCATTGGGTCACTTCAACGTGCATATACCAGTTTACTTGCTCTTGCGGAGCTGAGTACATCGGCCGTACCATGCGCCAACTTGAAAAACGCGCTCGCGAACACTACCTAGCCTGGCTAGTAAAAGGAGACCAAAAGCGTGTATACAATTCAGTGACAAAACATCTGGTCAACTCAGGACATTCAGCGCCTTTCGAAAAATCCTTCAAAGTAATATACAAGATTCAACCAAACCTATAAAAGGGAGTGAAATCAAGACATCAGGGCATAGCCGAGGCAATAGCTATCCAAAAGCTCAAACCCACTCTTTGTATCTAAAAGAAATACGTCAAATCCCTGTCCCTACCATGGCCATCATAAACAGTTAAAATGTTTTTAGTAATGACCATCCCATTGCCTTTCTTACCTAAATTTCCTGTTTATTCATGTAAGTTTTTCTTAATCTCTGTCTACACTACCATATTTTCATATCCACACTTCGTGTTTATTTTGTCATTTCACTATTTCTACGTATTTAATCCCTGATTGCATAAACAAGTATTCATCACATTAGTTTTTTATCCAAACATCCTGTCTATTTTGTTATTTCTACATTGCACAACGTCAATCATCTTAGTTATTATAATGCTACTTTGTTCGAGTTTTATCCGTCCCCTTGTTTATTATGACATTCTAATTCCTAATTGTAATTTTTATTAATTTGACCCTTAACCGGAAATTATTCTGGAACTTTCCAATCCATTTGATATAAATACACGAATGTACAGCCTAGATGATGACCTCGTCGAAAAGAAAATTTTCTTCGCTACAACTGTCTTTTTATTCCCTATAATCTGATTGTTCTAAAATATCGAGAAATAAGACGTATGAATTCCTAACTCCTTACTAGTTAAAAGTTGAATAATCGCCTACAGTCGTATCAAACAGTGGCTTAACTTGACTAATAATTTTTTTCAGATTTGATCAAGAGCCGACATCGGTTAGAGAAACACTGAAAACTAGGGAATACTGAAAAGCTATTTCGTCTTATTTTAGAACTGATGTTGTGGCGCGCTTGCTACTGATAACATTTATCAGCAGTATATAAAGAGACGTTCTTCGGCATAAAATTATCAAATAGCACGGAGATACATTTGATGTCAGAGAAAGTGAAATGATACAGCTTTGTACAGATACATGGGAGACGTGAAAAGAACGCAAAGAAACACAATATGAAGGAAAGCCAAAAGTATCACAAAACGAAGATCTGTGCAAAGTACATAATGCAACTATATAGAGACACAAATTTCCAAATAAACATTCCTTTACCAAGTCTTTCATCTTCTAGCGTTACAATGCCATAGCTCATGATCAGACTTGAAGCCAATCAAATCCTTGCAAACCAACACTTAAAAAGTTTTTTTTCTTAACAACAAACTATGTTACAGAGCATTGTATTACACACAAAATAGTTTGAACTGTTATATTATTAAATTGAATACAAATCAAACTGTCTCGCTTACTTTCTGATATGTCATGATCAGCTGGACTGCAGGAAGCCCATAGAAAATGGATATAATAATTAAATACCTATAGAGTTAAGAGAAATAAAACTGCCATTAATATTATTATTATTATTATAAAAGACTGATTTCTAATTTGATCTGTTACAAGTATAAAACTAAATAAAGTAAAAATGATAATCAATGAATCCTTTGGTAGATTTAAGAAGGAGAAATAAAAGTTACATCAATTCAACCAATTAATGTACAATAGAAGAGTTGACTGAAGGCTTCATCGAATACATTCTTCTTATTCTAACAAAGACGATATAATCCAATGTCGTGGTTTCAGTGGAATTACCCAATCTGTGATGAGTAGTACGCTTTAAGTACATGATTAGCCTTCATGTTATAAGGAAGAAACTAATAGTAAAGGAAGAATAATTACGTCAACGATATTTTTTTCTTCACGTTCCCCAGTGGAACATAGGGCTTCAAGCTAGTGGTTTGAAGTTTCTGTAGCAGTGTTTATTTTTACAGAATGGGGTTGCTAGCCTCATGCCCAACTTTTCCTCTTCACCAGCATTATTTCCGGCTTAGCGAGGTAAAGGAGTGCGTGGGCCGGGGATCGAACCCCGGACCACGTGCACGGTCAGCGAGCGTCCTAACCGCTATGCCACCGACGCTACGTTATGTCAATTCAACCAATTAATATACAATGGAAGAGTTGGCTGAAGGCTTCATCAAATACATTTTTCTTATTCTACCAAAGATGATATAATCCACTGTCACGGTTTCAGTGAAATTACGCAATCTGTGATGAGTAGTATGCTGTAACTACATGATTAGCCTTCATGTTATAAGGAAATATCAATGAAGAAATTACTTGTAAAGGAAGAATAATTACATCAACGATATAAGTGACTTCTTTCCAAAATCTAACAAATATAAAAATATTCAAAATGCAGCTGAATGTTGATTATTGCTTAGAACAGATTCAGGAAAAATGATCACAAAGATTTTCAGTTCAGTTTTGAAATGGAATGACCTTTTTTCATCTACATATTCTTAGCCCAGAAATCTTTTTTGTGCTTAACAATTCTATCTGTCAAGGGAATGCTTCGGTGGCTCAGCCGCAGAATGCATGTGGTTCGACGTCCGATCCCCGGCCAACGCACTCTTAAACCTCTATAATTCGGTTATAAGACCGGTAAAAAGGGAAAGGTTGGGCATGGGACCAGCAACCCCACCCTGTTACTGAAAATTCAAAAGTCTAGATTGTAGCTCTGTATTCCTTTGGGGACGTAAAGGAATATAATAATAATAAATAAATAATGTCACCAAAATAGTGACACTACTCGACTTTCATAGTCGAAAGTTTCCACGATGTTTCATCTTTTGATCCTCATGTTTCACTTATGATCACGGGACTCCTAAGCAGTTGGTTCCCCTGAACCCTTCAACCAGGCATCGAACCCAAGACCTTCAGATTATGAGGTCAATACATGGAATCTAATTCCCTATGACTTTTAACTTCTGTCAGTACGTAATTTTCATCACTACCACCAGCTAATGTTCTCGGGGAATATTTGTCCCCACAGTGGACCTGATCGCCACTCCTCACTAGAACTCCAAGATACTTCGTCCTGCAATTAGTTACTAGTGAGCAACAGAATAAATTTTAGGTGTTCGTTTTGGTCACCTGACTTAGTGTGCCTTTCTTACAGTATAACAAATTAAAACGAACTCTAAACGTCTGTTTAAATTTCTGCATTGATTTTTCACTCGCTTAGTCATTTTGACTCAAAGCATATCACAATTAAAGTCATAGAATGGAATGATTGAGAGGTAGTATCCAGTAGAAGAAAGCTTTAAAATTTAATCAACTGGTTTTTTTCTGTGAAACAAAAAATCGTATGTTTGGTGACAAATTCACCAAACTACCACTAATTAACTTCATTCATTCTACTTTGATTGCTTTAAATAGTTGTATTTACCAACAAGTCTGTAGACGAAGTTCCTTTTTCCTGCATATGAAAAAAGTGACAGAATTAAATGCTACTTTTAATTTGAAACTAGGTGGAAACTAATTTCATGTGTTCAGTCTTTCTTTTGGTGTAGACTGAATTCCATTGGTGCGTCGGTGGCACAGTGGTTAGGACTCTCGCCGACCATGCACATGGTCCGGCGTTCGATCCCCTGCCGGCGCACACCCGATATCTATGGTCGGCCTGTAAATTTGGGCTACCGATATCCATGCTGAAAATTCCATACTTGTACTGAAAATACGGTGTGGAATCAAGCTGTAATCAAAATAAAAAAATTTTAAAAAAATAAAAAATAAATTAAAAAAATTTTGCAGTGTGACCACCATGCCGATCACCTTCAACCATCTAACAATCGAATATTTCCCTCGGGTCACACTTTAGGAAATGCAAATACAATTACAAATAGACACATTAGACATTTTGTTGAGATTGCGTCTCTCATACAACTTTGTCCATTGTAGTATCAGTTAATTGTTTTATGTGAGTTCTCTTTTGAAGCTTGCCATGAAAATTCTCTGAGTAAGGTTCTTTTTATATTTTGTAACACAATGTTGAGCGGGAATAAGGATGCCAAAGTTGCGCATGGACGTGGTGATCACACATAAAACTCCTATACACCAACAACACTAAACGACAGCTAACTATCCCCCCCCTTGTTCGTTCTACTTTAGACAGAACACACGGCGCCGTAAGACGGAAAAGTGTGTTTAAGCATCAATATCTTTACAAAAGGAAATGTTATATATATATATATATATATATATATATGTACATCGCCAATGAAGTAGGGATGAGAAAGGATACCTACATCTGTCTGTCTGTCTGTTTTCGACATAGAACTTTGCACAATATGTGCGGCAGTTCAAGTCGCCACACTCAATGTAGCACACAAAGCAAGAGAATAAAGTAGAATAAATGCATAATATAGACTTTAAACAGAGGTGTGAGACAAAAAGAACAGTAATAACGAAGAACAAAACAGTTTAATTGGAAATCATAAGTCACAAGGAGTGGATGCATCTGCGCCAGCAACTGAGAACGATTTTGAGCCATGTCACCAATTGTTTCCAACCATTGGTTTTTACCGTCTCTAGGACCCCAACCAGGAAGTTTACACCATCCTACTTGACCTAGACTAACTCTTGTAGATTTCATTGACTGGTGTCATGTTTTGGTTTGACCGCCGCTAGCTCTTTTCCAGACTGACCGTATTATCAGCTAACATTGCACGTCGAGGAAGGCGATCGATGGCTAGGCATACGTAACACATGTCCTAACCATCTCAGTCGATGTAGCTTCACAGCCTCGTCGATTGATTTCTCCTCCTTACCTGGTACTCGACGCCTAACCTCAATATTGCTCACTCGACTATACCACTTCACGTGGGAGACAGAACGCAGGCACCTATGATCAAAGACAGCTAGCAGGTTTTTCATGTCTTCCACTGTGAATGGCCAGGTCTAACAGCCAGCCATAAAGGAGGACGGAGCAGATTGACAAGCAGTACACCCACCCTTTGGTCGACAGCCGGCCGGATATCAAGTCTACACCAGAAACGGTGTAAACTGGCATATGCGAAACTAGCCTTCTGTATCCGTTCTGAGATTTCGTCAGTGATCAACCCGCTGGCACTGGTTGATACAACTTCCCAATTAAGTTAAATGGTCAACACGCTCTACCACTTCACTCCCTATTTCCAAGCTGGGTGTCAATGCAATCAAGTCCTGTACATCATCTTACATTTGGCGGGAGCGAATCGCATGCCAAACATTCGCAAATTGCAGTTTAAGGTGTTCAGAAAACTCTGCATTTTGTCAGCGTCTTCACTTAGGAGGGAGGACTATATCATCTGCATATTCCAAGTCAACGAGATTATTCCCTGGTAACAAGTTAATCCCTGAGTCTCTAAAGTGAGTAACGGTTAAGTGATGAAATTGAATAGAAATGGGGATAGTGGGCATCCCTGACGGACACCAGTAGCTGTCACCACTTCAGATGACAACTCGCCGTAAGTCCTCACTTGGCTGCATGAGTACGAATAGAGTGCCTAACCCACATATCAGTTAGACACTGATTATTTAGCCAATCGATATTTAAATATATCAACCAGGAATAATAGCTTAATTAGTATAGCTTGAAAAGAAAGAATCAAAGGTAGTCGCTGACACATTATTCTAAAATACTTTTATATTCTAATTATTAAGAAAAAGCAGGAATTTCATAATATGACCTTAAGAAGTAAGCTCAAGATCAATTTCTAAGGTAATAAATTTCATAGTGATTAGGAAACCCAAAGAACAGAAAAAAAACTTTTTTTCAATGAATGATCAGTATGTAGATTAAAAAATTTCATGTTTGTGAAGTTTTGAAACATTGGCATACTTAGAAGTAACACGTAACTGGGATTTGGTCTAAGCAAGCATGTAGCTGTTCGCTTCTGTGTTTCACACCAGTAGCGTTGAGCTTCAAAAACTGTAAACATCTGGAATGAAGATATACGTTGTACTACTCTACTTTAGGGTGGACACCGTATTTACCTATAGGTGCGTTAGTGGTTCCACTATAGAATGCTCGTCAACCACGTACTTGGACCAAGGATCGACTCCTGGTTAACTCACTTCTACATGTCACCCAGTTTACTAGTCGACGAAAGCCCGGAAAAGAGAAAAGCTTGGGTGTGAGGATAGCAACAATCCCCTGTCGTGAAAACAGTACCACGGCTACTGAAACTTCAATGCTCTAGGCCTGAAGGCCTATTTTCCACTTAGAAAGAAAAGGGAGAAAAACATTGCATATATATGACACCTAAGATTTTACAATATTCATCAGGAAGTTGATCGGAGAACATCGCTTTAAAAGTGGTAAGAACAACCTCGCAACTAACAGATTAGAAATCAAACTGATCGATAACGACATGAATTTTTTCTTAAGTACAGTTCCTGCTACTAAATGAGTTAACCGGATTTGTTCGCTGTCTGTTCTGATATGTAATGGTGTTTTCACCAACATTAGGTTAACACTGGCACAAAAAGAGAAAAAT